CAAATTCTTTACAGATTGTAACTGACCATAATTCAAGTGACTTGAAGAAGCCTAGAGCTACAAATGCCAATGCAGTGGCTCCTGTAACATTCATGGACCAATGTCTGTACATCAGGGGCAGACTGACAACTCATGGGGCCCCCGGGCAATAGAGGATCATGGGACCCCTGTGTCCTTGCCCAAACTTAAAAAAGCCTATGAAAAAGGTACCAGGGGCATCTCATGGGGCCCCCTACTGACCCAGGGCCCTCGGTCAGTGCCCGAGTTCTCAAATGGTCAGTCCGCCCCTGCTGTACATACAATTTGACAACAATGATTCAGAGTTGAACATAATTGTAAAGCACATACTGTAAAGCTGGCTACACATTATACAGCCTTATCCTTTAGAAAAACATAAAGTATAATATGAGGTCAAACCTAAATCATTTCAAATTATATCCAATCAGGCAGGCACTACATAGTTGAAGGTAAATCTAAAGGACATTGAACAAGAAAAATGTATAATGTGTAGCCAACTTTATTGAAGTAATTAACCACTTCATGTCCGGACACTTTCACCCCCTTCCTGTCCAGGCCAATTTTCAGCTTTCAGTGCTATCACACTGAATGACAATTGTGCGGTCATGCAACACTGTACCCATATGAATTTGTTTACATTTTTATGAGACAGATAAAACTTTATTTTGGTGGTATTTATTCACTGGGATTTTCATTTTTTTTGCTATATAAATGAAAAAGTCCAAACATTTTGAAAAAAAGTGTTTTTCTTATAAAATTTAGCAAATAAAATAATCTTTCTTCATAAATATTGGCCAAAATGTATTCAGTTATCGTTTTAGTAAAAACAAATAACCCAAATTAGTTTATAACCAAAAACTATAATTTTAAAAAAAAAAACATTTTTCATTTTTATTTTATATTTTTTTTAGATTTATTATTTATGTTTGTTTTTTTTTTTAACATACTGTCACCCTAGCAGTACAGTGTCACCATAGTAACACTGTACTACTTTTGGGGGGTGATTATTATTATTATTATATTATACAGTATTTATAAAGCGCCAATAGTTCACTCAGCGCTGTACATTACAAAGGGGGACAGAACATGTGACAGAACAAAAACAATACAATGCAAAACATGAGGGGATCGAGGGCCCTGCTCTTTCCAGCTTACAATCTTACAAATGAAGATATTTTTTTTTTTTTTTTTACACTGATTGCTTTTACACCCATAAAGGCTGTAAAAGCAATCATTTCTCCTTCTCTCTGGCTGCATTCTTGCAGCCATTGAGAAATACTGTGAGAGCTGTGATTGGTCACATGGTACAAGGCTGTTGTGAATAGCCTTGTACCAAGTGATCTCTGTGATCATTCACAGATTTCACACGTAGTAAAAAATGATGTCAGAATTGACATCTTGCTTACACCTATTCATGTGATCACTGATTTTCCAATCAGTGATCACATGATTGGGACCTCACACAGAGGTCCCGTAGAGCGGTTGGTGTTCCTCCGGACAAAGTGGGCACCGGATCACAGTGCCGTGCACTCCCAGGGAGAGCGCACAGTCCAAAATGGTGGGTGCCATTTATGAACGACAACACGCCCCTGCACTGCCCCCGCTCCCCATTAAAGATTGGCACCTTTGGGGAGTGGGTACCCGAATTTGACATGTACCCGCTCCCACTTCCACTGTGATCACCTAGAACGGTGATAGGAAGCGGAAGTTGTCCTCCCCCTGCCTCCCCGTAGTCTTCTGGGACACGTGACAGGTCCTAGAAGACTACAGGGCCATTCACAAAGCGCAGTGCTTCTCGCGCATGCGCAGTGGGCACCCGGATGTGAAGCTACAAGCTGTCACAGCCGGGTGCCCACACTGAAGATGCCGGCGCCAAGGAGAGAAGACAGCCGGTGAAACTAGCGGTGATGAGGACACCGCTGAACCAAGGGACAGGTAAGTGGCTGTATTTTAAAAGTCAGCAGCTACAGTTTTTGTAGCTGCTGACTTGTATTTTTTTTTCAGGTGGAATTTTTAAGAAGTTAGTGCATATTTTATTAACATATCATAATTTCCTGGTGCCCCCAGAGTTGCAGTGTTATACCAAAATAGGTGCTTTTTGGGTTCAGTAATGAACAAATATTGCTTAGACTCATTTCTGCTAGTTGTTTTTGGTATTCTCATACTTTATGTTTTTGTGTTCCCAGTTCGTATTATTGGATCTTGCTGAGGAATAACAAATGTGGTGCCTGCAATTTTTTAGGAGTTGTAAAGAACATAAATACAAAAGTATTGACTTGTAAGGGGACTGTAATGGCAGTGATCTTTCGCAATCTCAAATGAGATGGCCCCAGTTACTGACTCTCACCTGCAGCATGTCCTCAGTCACCAGCCATTCCTGTAGCACGTCTTCAGGAACTGACCATCTCCTGTAGCATCTCCGTAGTCTCTGACAGTTTTGTGTGGCATCAAAAGGGCTAATTCCACACTCCTTGGTCTCCCAATGAAATTTACCTGGATGCCAACAGCATAATAAGTATCATTACCAACTTCACCATGACTTTGTTTTACTGCTCTGAACTCTTCTACAACTTCCCGACTATTACATGTTTATGGATTGTCTCTCTTTTCTTATGGAAATGCTACTCCACTGATGACCCATGAGTTTGTTTGTTTGGGCCAGACTTTTCATAACAATGCACACTGATGTATGAGGGGCTCACAACTCTTTCTGCCAATCCTCCCCTGGACAGCCCCCCTAATCAAAAAGTGCTAGAGGGAGGTAAGCACTATAGTTCAATTATTTCCTCCTCTGGATTACATCAGGTCTAGAAACCACTCTGAGATCATTTCAATATTTTCTATTGTCTGTCCCTAATGAGATATCTATATGGCTACAATTTCAGTGTAAGAGGGAGGTTACCGTGAAATACACTGTGTACAAGATATCCTCTGGACTACACATTATTATCCATATGGGGCTTTAACCAACCATACTTTCTTTTGAGTGCACAAGCTTGTGATACGGGAGATATATCCATTTTTGAAGATGACTTTAATATGCTGAGCAGTTTTGGTCAAGTTAAGAACATTATATGTTAAATGTTTACAATATATAGCATTGACTGGCACCCAATGGGGGGATCAAGCGAGACTCATGGAGTGTGGTTTGTTTTTATATTTATAGGTTTTTTGTATAATTAACCACTTGCCCTCCTGAGGATTTACCCCCCTTCCTGACCTGACCATTTTTCGCGTTGCGGAGCTGCGTTACTTTAACTGACAATTGCGCGGTCATGCAATGCTGCATCCAAATGAAGTTTACGTCCTTTTTTTTCCCCACAAATTCAGCTTTCTTTCAGTAGTATTTGATCGCCTGTGCATTTTTTATCTTTTGCGCTGTAAGCAAAACAAGACCAAGAATTTCAGAAAAAAAAACAATATTTTTTTACTTTTTGCTATTAAACATGTTCAGTAAAAAATTTTAAAAATCAAATTTCATCATAGATTTAGGCCAAAATGTATTCTGCTATGAGTTTGCTAAAAAAAAATCCCAATGCGTGTAAATTAATTGGTTTACGTGAAAGTAAACAAAATGGCTGTTTAGATACTGGGATTTTTTGCGGTTTTTTTACTAGTAACGGCGGCAATCAGCGACTTTTAGCAGGACTGCTGTGGACATTCTGACACTGGGGGGAACTAACTTCATGTCACTGACATCCCCACTGACACCAATACAGTGATCAGTGCTAAAGAAAAGCACTGACACTGTACTAATGACACTGGGCAGGAAGGGGTTAATGTGAGAGGCGATCAAAGGGTTAACTATGCTCTGGGAGTGTTTTACTAGGGGGGGGGGGTGTGTGCTTTACTGTAAGCACACTGATTGGGATGGCTGTGCTGTGCAAAGCCATCTCGAGCAGTGTGCTTGAGCTGACAGGGAGGAAAACTGTAAACAAAACAGTCTTCCTCCCCGTAGGTGATTGTCAGTAATCACCGGGCACTGGCGGGTAATTACCGTCCGGGACCCGGTGATTGACATCCGTGGCCGTGAATGGCGGCGCGGAGAGGGCATGCACGCAGCTCGCCCCCTACCCGGAAATGCAAAATCACTTATATATACATTATTTTGCCCACAGGTGCCTCCGTGTAGCAGTATATCTGCTATCTGGCAGCGTGGAAGCGGTTAAAGGAATTGTTCATGTACTTTGACAACCAGCCCTTTGATTTAGAATATATACCCATAGCACAAAAAAAACCACCAATCTTGGTTGAGTCCATAACTAATCTTTATTGTTTGCTTTCATATTTGGATTAGGGACTCCCGGATTACTAATATACAGACCTTGAGGCATTTTGAAAATTTTGATTACATAGGTTTTGTGTGGCATTACATGTGCAGCCAGTTGTTGATGTCAAGGGTAGCACATGAGACCCCCTATATAACATAAATTGGCCAAATCAAAGAGGCTATTGTTTTTAGCCTGAAGAAAATTAAATTACATCAATATGTTGCCTTTTTTTCCAAACAAAAATGTAGATTGAAATTGATCTTTTTCTAGTGCAATAAATAATTGAGTTACCTAGCTGAGATACTGGGAAAATACATATGGAAAAGATGGATGAAGAGAGAAACGAGCATTGCTGGAGACAATAAAAACAATAAATGACAATATAATCATTTTATTTTTTATTTGTTTTAGTGCTATACCACCATAGGATAGCATCACCTATGCAACTTTGATCATGTGAATGTTTCAATTCGTGACAATAAAATTGAAAACACATAACTAAATAAAGATAAGAAAGCATATGCAAGCAGGTGTGATTAAACATATCAATGGACATGCATGGCATGTTAGCTGTTCAGCTTTGCATAAAATATGTCCCTGAAAAAGCTTTCATTTGAAAGTCACATATTTTGAGGTTATAGATACATCCTCCCAATTTTTTGCTTGTCTGTGAAGATTAGATTTAATTAAAGAATGACAAACTTTTTTTTTTTAGTGGCTGACAGTTGATGTTTCCAGAGAAGGAGTGTTGGCAGCAACATCTTGATGTTCTTGTTCAGACATTTGACTTGCCTCAGCAATCTCAGCAGTTTCAAAAGTTTCATAAAATCTCTGGAAAAAAAGAGTCAATAGTCAAGGTAAGTTTACTCCATTGCTTATTTTCACTATTCAGCAAACAGGTGCACCTTTTCTTATCTATTAAAAGGAATTAGCAATGTTTCTGAGGCTGAATTTAACAACCATAGCGCAGGAACTCCTTGCTTTCTTATTCTCATTTATTTTAACGGTCTTCTATGTCAGTATTTCTCAACCTTTTTGCAGTCAAGGCACCCTTTAAAATTATGAACAGTCCTGAGGCACCCTTTAAAAATTCGTGACAGTCTTGAGGCACCCTATTCTAAAATGGGGTGCCTCAAGACTGTCCATAATTTTAAAAGGGCACCCCATTCTAAAATGTGAAAAACGATTCTAATAGTTCTATATCATGCAGCAACATCCACACATGTAGGACACCCAACATTAGAAGAGATTTATTCTTCCAAAGCAAATATATCTTTGCACTCTGGTACTGACTAGTATTCCAGTGTTTCTCTTCTCCCTCAGTTTTTCTCCATCACTGAGCTAATGTGACCCCAACACTGATGGAGAGGGGCAGGTGAGGGTCAAACTAGGATGCTGTGCAGGCAAGTGACATCCTCCTTCTCAACAGATGATGTGGTTGGTTGTCATTACGCCGGCGGCTAGAAGGTCATAATGGTGCACAATGAAAACCTGTGGCTTTGTGTAACTAAAAGGCAGGCTTGTTCCACCCGCTGGCTTGTATACAAGTTTTGGACAAATTTTAGACATTTTGCCAAGTCACCCCTGAAGAAACCTCAAGGCACCCTGGTTGAAAAAGGCTGTTCTATGCATTAACATTGTTTTCTGTAAGTGCAATGTGTACAGCAAGCTTCTACAAAGCATTGGCAGAGCTTTCAGACAGCTTCAAGCAGCTTTGTTTGAAGACTTTAGGGCTTGTTCACACTTGACTGCTTCCCAAACACCCCCATAGCATTTGACAGGCGTTAGGTGTTTCGGGAGAGTTTTTAATGCTCCCCAAACGCCCTATGCGTGATTTTGAGGTGTTTTATGGGCGTTTTCTAAGCATTAAACCCACTCCACAATAATAATAACCCGCTCCGCTATAATGAAGTTAATGGTATTAACGCCCTGCAAACGCCTTGCAAACGCCAGCCAGGCGTTTGAGGAGCGTCACCATAGACTTGAATGGGAGGCGTTGAAAAGCTTCAAGTCCTCCTGACTCAACATGAGACATCAATTTTGCCACAACGCCATCGCTTCAGTGTGAACAGCACTGTGTGCTGCCATATGTATAATTTTCATAGGAGTTTGAGAAGCGTTATAAACGCCCCTCAAAGGCCTGCAAAACGCCTGCTTACAGAGCTAGTGTGAACTAAGCCTTAGGCTACATTTGCTCTTTGTGTGTGCATCCAGTAGCAATCACCGCAGGTCAGGGGCGGACTGACAACTCATGGGGCCCCCGGGCAATAGGGGTTCATGGGGCCCCTGTGTCCTTGCCCAAACTCAAAAAAGCCTATGAAAAAGGTACCAGGGGCATCTCATGGGGCCCCCTACTGATCCCGGGCCCTCGGGCAGTGCCCAAGTTTCCAAATGGTCAGTCCGCCCCTGCTGCAGGTAATGGTTGGCTGTGCAGACAGCCACAGATAGCTGAAGCCGCCACTGACCTGTCATTGAAGTGTGCAGCTCGGTAGCTGAACACCAGTGACTAAAAGAGCTGCAGGAATCAGCAGATTCCTGCCGCTGCTATTCACACCGGGCTAGTTGCCCATGCAAATGTAGCCTTAAAGTGTAACTCCAACCAAAACCATTTGAAGTTTGAGTAAGTTGGGGGAGGATTAGAGCTTCTGTTGCATTTTTATTGATACAAGGATGAAAAACTGCATTCTATGTCCCCACAGTCGTACCATATAGATCAAGGGTGTCCAACATTTTGACCTTCCTGGGCCACATTGGAAGAAGAGGAATTGTCCTGGTCCACACATAAAATACACTAATAACAAGGATAGCTGATCAGCAGAAAAGTCAGATCACAAGTTAATAATCACTGATATAGATAATGTATGTATCTGTGTAATGATACGTAATATTTTTTATTATAACTGTAAAAGAAGGCAACATAAAACTAGTGCGATATTTGACACTGTTTTTGATAAACCAAACATCAATATCTGGTTCAATGGATATAGTAGTAATTCTTAATAAATTCCCAAGGTGCTTATCAGATATTTTGCTTCTAATTTTGCCCTTCATGTGCTTCATCCAAAATAGTTGCTCACAATTATAGATGCTTCTGTAAACTTATGACATGAATAAGGCATGATTGTGAAGAGTGGAGATTTTTTGGGGGGTAGATAAAACGTATAAAAGCCTGGTAAAGAGATACTCTCAAATATTTCTTTGGCCTCATGTGTTCACTAAGTGTAAATGTATTTTTACAAACAATTAAAAAAAAAAATCAACATTTTTTAAGTTAAGCAAGTTTACAATTTTTTGTTGGGCCGCATTCATAGCTGCCTTGGGCAGCATGTGGTCTATGGGCCGCAGGTTGGACACCCCTGATCAGGGGCGGACTGACCATTTGGAAACTCGGGCACTGCCTGAGGGCCCGGGGTCAGTAGGGGGGCCCATGAGATGCCCCTTGTACCTTTTTCATAGGCTTTTTTGAGTTTGGGCAAGGACACAGGGGCCCCATGATCCCCTATTGCCCGGGGGCCCCATGAGTTGTCAGTCCGCCCCTGCCCCTGATGCAGAGTATGAAAAATAGTGTGACAAGGATGATGATCCAATCTAACCAACACACATTCTCCTAATGTATCAATTCTGTTGCAGGAAATATTATGAAGTAATTGTGTGCTTAGACTAAGGTATAATAAACATTTTATACACAAATTGAGGAAATGCTAATATATGAAGCATACATTCATTTCTTCTAGCATATAATACTAAGAGTGTCTTGAAAGGAATACACATTGTAATTGTAAGTTAACCACTTCAAGTCCGGACACATTTACCCCCTTCCTGTCCAGGCCAATTTTCATCTTTCAGCGCTATCACACTTTGAATGACAATTGCACGGTAATGCAACACTGCACACATATGAATTTTTCAGCATTTTTTGAGACAGATAAAACTTTATTTTGGTGGTATTTATTCACCACTGGGATTTTTATTTGTTTTGCTATATAAATGAAAAAGGCCAAAAAATGTTTAAAAAGTGTTTTTCTTAAAAAATTTTGCAAATAAATAATCTTTCTTCATAAATCTTGGCCAAAATGTATTCATTTATCTTTTTAGTGAAAAAAAAATAACCCAAATTGATTTATAACCAAAAATTATAATTTTTCTACATTTTTTTTTTTTACATTTTTTTTTTATTTTTTATATTATTATTTATGGGTTGGCCAATCAGTGATCACATGATCGGAACCTTAGACAGAGGTCCCGTACAACTATCCGGACACAGCGGGCACCGTATCGTGGTGCTGTGCGCTCCCAGGGAGCACGCACAAGCGGGGAGGACGATTATAAACGGCCACCCACCCCTGCACTGCTCCTGTCCAGCCATTTATATACATGGGCCGGACGGGAAGTTGTTAATAAATAAAAGATATGTATGTAACAAGAAGTAAAGCCCAGCTGTCTTTGCTATGTAGCAACTCCCATATGCTGTTCTGCTGCTGGTGAATTGGCAGGAGCATCAGTTTCTAAAAAATTAAAGCACTTGTTACCTCAATATTTCATATTCCTGATATGTGTCTTTTGAACCATGTACTTGTGTTAAAACGTATTCTGTTTTTTTTTGTATGTCTTCCGTTCTTCCGTTGTGTGAAATCCCTGGTGTTCCTGCCAGTCCCTCTGCTTTCTTATTTCAAACTGACCACACTAGGCTGAGAACACATGCATCTCAGTGCCATCAGTTTTCTGGCTGGGCTGACGACACAGCCTGCCTGGTCTCCAATGGCCTGACATGCTTCTCTGCACAACTCTACCCTGGGAAAATCACAGTATTGCTATTTCTTTGCCTCATGCTGACATACCCCTATGCAGTCTCCACCCATGCATCTTATGCAGCTGAGAGCAGAGATTATGTAATCACTTATAAAAAAGGAAAAAAGTATTAAGGCAGTTGTAAGGGCTCAAGTTTTTTTTTACCTTCATGTATTCTATGCATGAAGGTAAAAATCCTTCTCTATGCAGTAGTCCCCCCCCCCCCCCGAATACTCACCTAAGCCCCCTCTCGATCCAGCGATGTGCACTGGAATCTTAGCTGGAATCTTAATCTTCTCATTGGCTGAGACAGCAGCGGGAGCCATTTTAAATCTTTAAATGGCCAGCAGGAACTGATAGGGCATATTCATAGTTCACAGCAGAAACTCTGAAGTTGTTCTCTCAGAAGCTCAGATCCCCCTGCTCCCCCTCCCAGCAGTGGCTCAGTTCACTCTGCCCAACCTCTCCCTGCAGTGACTCAGCAGCCTTCCATCTTTCTGATCTTTAAAGGCCCCATTCACACCTGAGCATTTTGTAGCTTGAAACTCAAAGCTACAAAACACTCAACAGTAAAATTCTCTTTGTTTTTAAAGGTGCCAGTTCATACCTGAGTGCTCTGGCGCCTGTTGCTAGACGCCTGTCACTTGAAAAATAACATTCTACTTGGACAAGGCTTCTTGGTAATGCTTCATACAAAACTGCTAGTGTACTCCAGGACAAACAGCAATGTTCAAGAAAGTTTACTTTCTACTCCTTTCCTTTTTCTTTGCCTTTTCTTTCCCTTTCACGCTTTTCTACTATCTCCTTAGATAGGAAACATTTTTCAGATGTTATCATCTTACAAAAGGGGGGTCTTTTTTGTTACCTCTTGAGTTGTATTGAGAATTTTGAGGGGAATTCAGGATTATGGTTGCTACATGTTGGATGTTTGAGCTAACAATTCCCAATACTGACAGTTCTTATTGGTAAGCTTCATCTTTATGTTTGAATCCTTCTATCTGCTTTTGTATAGGAGGTATTTTGTGACTGGAAGTGTTTTTGCCTGTCTGAGGATATTTTGTTTTTACAACCCCTGCTATTTCCTAAAGTACTTGCTTGTTTTTTGTTAGCATGCTATTTTTGTACATATCTTTGTATTTCCTGCATTGGAAAAACTAATAAAAATTTATTGAAAGACAAAAAGAATATTCCGAGGGATAAAACATATCAGGAGAGATTTCATGAGCTTACTATGTACAGTCTGGAGGAAAGAAGGCTAAGGGGAAAAATGACCTTTAAATACATCAAGGGGGTGAATATGGTTCAGGAGAGCAGTATTTACAATATAAAGTCAAGAACAAGAACACGGGCACATGACCTCAAACTAGCAGGAGGAAAGTTCAAAACTAATCTTGGAAAGTATTATTTTATCGAAAGGTAGTCTTCCAGTAGAGGTAGTGGGTCATTCAACAATAAATGGATTCAAACTCGCTTGCAACAAACATAAACTCAGACAAAAAAGTAAGAAAAAAAAAATTATATACATATATATATATATACATATATATATACATATACACACACACACTATATTGAAAAAAGTATTGGGACACCCCTCCAAATCATTGGATTCAGGTGTTTCAATCACCTACATGGCCACAGGTGTGTAAAATCAAGTACCTAGGCAGGCAGACTACTTCTACAAACATTTGTGAAAGAATGGGTCGCTCCCAAGAGCTCAGTGAGTTCAAGCGTCATGCCAGCACCCTGATCACCGCCATACACCATACCAGCATCCTGATCCCTCATTACTGCCATACCCCATACCAGCATCCTGATCACTGCCATACCTCATACCAGCGTCCTGATCACCACCATACTTCATAACGGTGTTCTGATCACGCCATAAACCCCATACTAGCGTCCTGATCACCACCATACCCCATACCAGTTGTCCTGATCACCACCATACCCCATACCGGTGTCCTGATCACCACCATATCAGTGTCCTGATCAACATCATACCTCATGGTAACACCCTAATCATCGCCATACACCTTACCAGCATCCTGATCACTGCTGTACATCATACCAGCGTCCCACATTTTAGGGTCTCAACTGATCAATAATATATATCCCATAGTTTGTAGACTCTATAGCTTTCACACAGACTAAATAATATACACTGTTTTGGGTTATTTTCACCCACAAAATGTAGCAGAATACAGTTATATATATATATATGAAGAAAAGTTATTTATTTGCTATATTGTATAACAAAAACTAAGCAAAAAAAATTTTTTTTTTTTTCAAAATTTTTGGTCTTTTTTTATTTATATAGCACTACAACCAGTGGTGATCAAATACCACCAAAATAAAGTTCTATCTGTCTCATAAAATGATATGGGTACAGTGTTGCATAACTGAGTAATTGTCACTAAAGTGTGATAATGCTGAAAGCTGAAAATTAGTCTGGACTGGAAGGGGGGATGAAAGTGTCCGGACTTGAAGTGGTTAAAAAAAAGGGGCAGACTTGATGGACCATTTAGCCTTTTTTTCTGCTGTCACTCTATGTTTCTATGTAATATGAATTTATTTTTGGGCAAATTGTAGTGCTTTTGGTCTCATAGACATAAATAGGAGCACCTGAAAATGCACAAAAGTGCATGTTATTCACTCACATACTAGAAATCTATGGGGAAAAAAAATGTTCAATCTTGCTCCAGTCATTCTCTACATCACTACCAAAATGTAAAAAAAAAAAAAAAAACCCTGGAAAATCACCAAAATATGCTATGCTTAAGTGTGAATGTAGCCTAATGTAACACAGTGAGCAGAAACGGGGCAAGGAGGCCATGGGAAGTTGTTATGCTGAGATAAAATCGGTCAGGAACGAGAGCATCTGCTAGTGGCACTGTGGCCACAGACCTGGAAATTGTAGTTTTGGTGCCTCTCAGCAGACAGCAGGTCCCAGAAATTAGTCTGCACCTGATGCTAGTTGTTGGGGATGGGGGTTTTTTGCCCGTCCGCTAGCTTTCCACAGCGCCTCCGTATTTAACCTGTATGTCCATCTGCTCTGTTTCTGTGACGTGTAACCCTGATCCTGCCCGCTTGTATTTGGCGCCATGTACCTTCCCCCCATTCTGGCTCATTCCTGACCCGCTATGCCTTGCTCCTCAGTCTGATCTGCTCTGCCCTACTTATCCTGCTCTCTGTATATAAAACTGACTTAGTTTAGGTAATTTTTCTTGTATTTGCTTTAAAGCAGGTGTAATGAATTAAAACTCATGGAGGTCCGACCAGTGAAATACTCTTTTAGGTCCGAACCGCTTTTATTTTCCAGCCCTCTCCTACTGTATATCACAATCCCTATACTTCAGTGTCCTCAGTACCCCCCCCCCCATACGTCACAGTCCCCAACTTCACATCAGTTTCACCTTCACTGTAGTGTTGTCAGGCCTCCTGCACATCACCCCCACTCACTCCTTTACAGTACAACCCCATTATTTTCAGAAATCCTCAACCCCCCTTCAAACCATCACCCCCACCCCACACTACTGTCCTCTGCCCCTTTCACATCCCCCCCCCATCCACTGCTGTCCTCTTTCCCTTCACATAAGCCCCAGCAGAACTGTGCCCCCTGCACATTCCCCCACAACCGGGCCCCCCCCTTTACATCTCCCTCCCCACAGCACTGCCCCCCTACATCTCTCCCAGCAGCACTGCCCCACCTCCTCACATCACAAATTCCCCCCCCCCCCCCACAGTAGTGTTCTCTGCCCTATTCACATCAAACCTCCCCAACACACACACACACGCACAGCACTGTCCCCTTCACACCCCTGAGGTATACTCTGCCCTCCTCTCATCAACCCCACCCCCCACTTCACATCTCTACCCCACAATACTGTCCTCTGCCCCTTCACATCCCTCTACTACAACATTGCCCCCTTTACATCTCCCCCTCCACAGCAATGCACCCCTCCTCGCATCACAAATCCCCCCTCCATTTACATCACCCCTTCATAGCACTGCCCCATTTACATCACCCCCCACCACCACCATATGCACACAGCACTGCCCCGGTTCACATTTTGCCCCCCTTTACATCACACACACAGCCAGAGTAGTGTCCCCGGCCCCCCTTCACTCTCCTACCTTAGAATGGAGAACGGGAAGCGGAGCATTTCTGGATCGGGTGTGGGAAGCACAGCACATCATTGAACAAAGCCGCTTCTTTCCCCTCATCTTCCACCACTGTTATAGCAGCAGAGCAGACAGCAGGAGACAGAACATTTCTGGAGTGAGTGTGGAATAACAGCACAGTATTGAACAGAGAGTGGGAGCGGGAGCTATCATAACATTTCTGGAGTGAGTGTGGAATAACAGCACAGTATTGAACAGAGCGTGGGAGCGGGAGCTATCATAACATTTCTGGATCGGATGCGGGAAGCACAGCGCAGCTTTGAATAGAGTGCGGGAGCTGCGGGGGGTTAACTTTTGTATTAACCAGCAGGTGATTGGCTGCTAGCACTGCCCTGCTTCCAATCAGCTCTTGGTTATTCACTCTCGAGCTCTGTTCAATACTGTGCTGTTATTCCACATTCGCTCCAGAAATGTTCAGTCTCCTGCTGTCTGCTGTCATAACAGAGTCGGAGGATGGAAGGAACGAAGCAGCTCCTAAATGGCGTGATCGGGTCCAGATGAAACAGTGGCTAGGTCTGCATCCAGACTGCTGTCCGCCATTTAGTGATACCTGCTTTAAAGGATAAGTTCACCTTTTAGTAAAAAATAGTAAATGCACAAATGTGCATTTTTTATTTTTGTCTGCAGGAGCCTGTAAAGCAATGCACCAGTGATCAGTAGATCGCTGGTGCCATGCATGTCTCCTGCAGACCTGTAAGTATATCTGCCTGCCTATACGGGATGTACAAGCAAGCAGATATACTGACAGGTAGAATGAATAAACTACCTCGATGCTCCACAGTGCCGTGGTAGTTCACTAAGAATTACAAGACTGGAGCCGCTAAGGCTGTCTGGACTTGTAGTCTCTTATTCACAGAGGACCATGTTTTTTAAAAATCTGACAGCTAGCTGGGAGCAGGGGGTGAAGGGGATAGAAGATCCCTCGCTAGCTTTCAAAGCAGGGAGCAGGGGACTTTCTGATCGTAACATGTTACACCCTGAATATGTGTTACAGAAGGTGACGTTATCCTTTAATTAGACTCATTTCTACTGGTTAAGTTCACTTTTATATGGATTTACTGAGGTTTTTTTGGTCCATTTGGAGGGTTGTATCAGTTGTTTTGTTTCATATTTCTGTTTTCCTAGTAAATTACATTTTCACTCAGTTTTGAGACTTGTGTTCCCAGGGCAGATCCACACATATCTAGTCACACCTACTTTACAGGATACCAGCACTTGGTATCCTAACAACATCTTCAGTGCTTATGCAGTTAATGTTGAGGATAAACTGTTCCACATTGCCTGCAGCTACAGAGGACAGTGAAATCTTCTTTTAAAGCTCATTTATGTTCTTGTTTAGAATATGCTTGAAGGTCTATCACCTTAACACAGAAATCCATTTAATCTCAGACTAGAGTGATTTTACACATTTAATTTCCTTTCTTCCAATGACTAAGCAGGGTAGTGGGGCAGTGAAGGAAAGGTGAGTATGGCCTGTTGGGGAACAGCAAAGCACAATTTCGCTTTAAGATCAAACTAAAAGAAGTCATATAAGAAATCATAACTTACCTCTGTTTGTTTTTCAGTTTTAGAAAGTGGACATACTACAATGTTTACACTACCAGAAGATAGAGTGTCTGCTGTATTGTCTCCATCAGCAGCTGACAGGCCTGACAAAACAAGAGCACTAGAAAAGCCTTTCTTTCCAAACAAAAGGCTTAATGTTGAATTTGTGGATGAAGTGTAACCAGACTGTTGTAGCTCTTTGGGTTTGTTCATTTATATTTTTATTTGCATGAGAAAAGGGAGAGGGAGTGCAATTTGGTACACAGTGTTGACTTGAAGATAGTCTTTTAGTAATGTTATAATCAGTTGTTGCATCACAGCATGCATGGCGTTTTTCCTTTGCCCCGGAATGAGCAGAAATCTGGTTTAAAGAAGAATGGGTGTGTGCCGATTTACTCTTCAATTTCCTTTTACCTGTAAAAGAGAAAAGATCAATACACAAATATATATTTCTATTTAAAAAAAATACATATAAGGCCAAAAGAACCAGAGGTATATTTGTACTATGCTTTGAACGATTATTTCCACTATAATAAACTAAAAAGCTATTTATCAATATGAATAAGTTTGAAGAGAAATTGGTGTGAAAAATCCAGAGGTTACTATTGCCTAACTCCTTCTAGAAAAAAGCAGGAGAATCTGGGTCAGCAATCAATGGCTGGAGCAAAAGGGTGAACAAAACAACCTGCACAAGGAGCATTTTCAGAAGCCAGAATTACCAGGCAACATGCTGACAAGTTTCCATAAAGTGGATTTTTTAATCAAAAAGAATTAACCATTTATAATTTTGATTAATATTTAACCACTTGCCCTCCAGAAGATTTCTACCTCCTTCATGACCAGGCCATTTTTTTCTATTCAGCGCTACCAATGGCGCAGTCACGCAACACTGTACCCAGTTTAAATTTATATCTTTTTTTTTTCACACAAATAGAGCTTTCTTTTGATGGTATTTGATCACCACTGGGTTTTTTTATTTTTATTATATAAATGATAAAAGACTAAACATTTTGAAAATATAAAAAAAAAACAATATTTTTTACTTTCTGCTATAAAAACATATTCAATAACATTTTTAAAAAAAAAATCTAATTTCTTCATAAATTTAGGCCAAAATGTAATCTGCTACATATGTTTGGTAAGAAAAATCCCAATAAGTGTATATTGATTGGTTTGTGTAAAAGTTATTTAAACTATGGTATATAAATACTGGAATTTTTTTTCTTTTTTTATTCTAGTAATGGCGGTGATCAGCAACTTGTAGCGGGACTGTGACAGTATGGCAGGCAATCTGACACTAACTGACGCTTTTGACTCTTTGTGGGCACCAGTGATACTAATACAGTGATCAGAGCTAATAATATACACTGACACTGTACTAATGACAGTGACAGGGAAGGGGTTAATATCTAGAGGAAATCAAAGAGTTAACTGTGTGCCTAACAGTGCTTGTTGCATTCACTCTGTGCTGTTTTTACTAGGGGATATGTGTTGGAAAAATACTAGCACATCCCCACTGACAGGTCAGAGCTCTGTGTTGTTTACATTCACAGAGCTCTGTCCTGTTTTCCTCTTCGCCAATCAGCGGGTCCCCGCCATCCATTATTGGTCGAGATCTACTAATCAGCTTGTGCTGTGACTAATCACAGCACAGCTGGGGCAGCGGGCGCATGCGCCCCTAGTCACGTGAGCCGTATCACGTATTAGATACATGATCAAGTGCAGGAGAGCTGCTATGCTGCCGTACTCCTAAGCAAGGCGTAAGGCAGGCGGTTAAAATGGTTATAAAGCCAGAATATTTTTACCTAAATGCATACCCTGTATTAAGGTAAAAAAAAGGACCACTACTAGTATTGCCCCTTCACCTCCCAAAAAACTTACTTTAGTCCTATCTTGATCCAGCGCTGCAGCCATCTGCAGTGGCATAGGTCTGTGTTCCTCTTCTCAGAGGACACAAAGGCAGCAGTGGGACAGATTGGTTCCTGCTGCTGTTAATCAAATCCTGCGAAAAGGGAGCAGGGACGGGGCCAAGACATGTTGTGTATGTCTAAGAACACACATAGCCCGGCAATGGAGCGAACCTGCACAGCTGCCCCCATAGCAAGTGGTTTGCTATAGGGCAGACACAGAAGAGGAGGAGCAGACAGCAGGGCTCTCAGAAGATAACATGTTATACTTACTTGCTCTGTGCAATTATTTTTCATAGTGCACCCCTGATCCTCCTTTTCTTAGAGTTCCCCGTCAGCAATATGGGGAAGACGTGCGGGCTTGCGCTGAGTTGGCTCTGTGTGTCCACAGACACACACAGTGTTGCTCAGCCCCACCCCCCAGCTTTCACTGACAGCAGCATGGCTCCTGCTGCTGTCTCTGAGCCTATGAGGTGAAAGAAAGAGAACAGTGCTGCTGCTCTCAAGCACAGCAATGATCAGAATTGGGCTCAAATAAGTATTTAGGGAAGGTTAGGGGGAGCTGAATATGAAAGATTTTTATTGTTAACCTTAATGCAGAGAATTTATTGCGGTAAAAAACCTTTAGCTTTTACAATTACTTGAAAATGATGTGAACATGGGAAAAAAGGTCTATTGGCACACAGTAAGGTAAAAAACTAAATCATCATAAAAAAACAATAATAATAAAAATAATTCAAATTCAAAGAATTTTTATCAAACAAACTTTATAATGCTAGAAAAATATGTCTGTAGCTATCTTAACTCACCAAAATAAAATCATTAAAAAACAGACCCAACTGCACATGGCATCACAAATGAATAGGCCGCTGTGCCCATGCAAACACGTCCACATGGACCCGCTACAGTGTGAACCTAGCCTTAGTCAGTGTACTGAACCTGGCTGTCTGTGTGGCTGACTGTTGATTTTTTTAATGTACACAAAAGTACCATATTTAAAAAGAAATAGATTAGACCTGCAGTGGACCTGGTCTATAAGGCTAGGTTTCACACCTGCATTTTGTGTGGGTGCGTTTGCATTGGCATAGCTGTACGTTTATTTGAATGCCTGTGGGAAACTCAGAGATAAAGTCCAAAACACACTTGCAGAGGGCAGGCACATGCAGCACCATGTGGTTTCCCGCACCCGAAAACGCATTGCATTTTCTAAACCATGGGGGTGCCTTTGTCCCAGCACCAGGTATACTTAATCTATCTTGGACAATTGCTAAATACTTGGATATTAACTATTGCTAAAATGATCCATTGCTTAGCTATATCTTGTTATCAACCTCCATAATATTATTTTTTTTTTTTATCAAGTCATCTCTTAAGTTGGCTTCACACAGCTGTGTATTGGTAATGTGAACATTACCATGCAAGTTATCGCAATGTGCAGTAACGCACGTTATATTCTACATTTGTTGCAGTGCTAAACATTTTGAATGTCAAACCTTCACAACACACCTGTGTTAATGCAACACATCAGAGTGGACAGAAGTAGAGCCTGCCTAAAGGTTTGGAAAAAAACACTTCAAAAACTATTTTCAATAGCTTTTCTTTATCAATAGGGAATGAAAACTGTACAACCTTTCAGTTCAGTAATATAAAAAAGGTACAATTCGCTAGTTTTACCCACTAGGTTTTAATCACTGGTCTGCAGGATTTTCTTTTTCTATTTTTTTCACTTTTTTAAACTGCAAAAAAAAAAATGATATGGTAGAAACTATATTTCCAGTGTTTTGGGGTGTTTTACTGCAGAAATCAGGCATACACAGAGGTGACAAATGTTAAAAAAGCAATGCTAAACACCACCAAATTGTTTGGCAAATACTATACATTAGCTAATTATAAAATGCTGATGTCATGAAGGTTAGTAATTAGAAATATATTTAATAAAAACAGTCAAGTCAGTAGTTTGGACTGCGCAAGGACTCAATAGGTAAGGGTACATTTTTCTGCAATACATAACATAAGCAATTTTTCAACTGCACTAATGCAAGCAGAGAATATTCTATGTCTCCCCTCCCCTGCCTGAATAATAGTTGTTGTAGTTGAGAGTATATATCCTATTTTTCTATTACCCTGGTTTAATTCAACCACTTTCCCTGCATAGGTAAAGGACATGTTCACTCTAAAACAGCTAAGCTTGTTGCAGTATAAGCCATCTTATTATTTTGGATACATATAAGGACAAGTCCCTCTAAAAATAAAGACTCACCTATTGGTTGCAGACTTTTTAAATCCAAACATTTAACCTCTTGATTTTCATTACAAGCATTCTGAGAGTTTCTTACACTTTTACTTGCATTGCTTTCCGAATAGCTGGGTACTGAGGATAAACTTCTCTCGCAGTCAGATTCTTCAGCATTTCCAACATTGTCATTACTTCTGTTGTTCTCTTTCCTCATGCTAGATAAAAGGTTGATAATAAGCTAAACTGTACAAACAATTAAATATTCTTGAATGATGTATTTAAAAAGTGCTATTTGAAACTAGACATACAGTACATGGTGATGTTTATTAGTAATTTCGTGACTATTAAATCAATATATATGTGTAACTATTTTTTTTTTTGTTTTAGATAGTAAGACAGTGTTAGTGGGCCTGGAAGGTTTTATTGTTGTCTGTGTCTTGGCTTGAGAAATTAACCTTCTCCATTTTTCCTGGTATCCACTGTCACCAAGAAAGAAAGTGAAGGGATATTCAACATTTTGCAGTTGTCACTAAAACATGAGATGAAAGGAAATATTCCAGTGGAGATGCTTGTTCTGGTTACAACTTTCTCAGAGGGTATTTCCCATCACTTTGTAGATATTTCCCCAACTTCTTGTTAGTCTCTGGCAGCAAATGAAGAGGAATCTTCCCAATGAGACAAAGACAGCAAAAAAAAAAAAAGAAGCCCCCCCCCCCCAAAAAAAAAGAAAGTGTGGAGTATACATAAACCTTAATCCTCTTTGGATAATGTACAGTACTGTGCAAATGTTTTAGACAGGTGTGAAGTTATGCTGTAAAGTAAGAATTTTTTAACCACCTTCCCCCCGCCATATAAGGAAATGACGGGCGCAAGGCGGTTCTCTCATTCTGGGAGGATGTCATATGATGTGCTCCCACTCTAACTTCACATGCGTGCCCCTGGTGGTGCGCAGCGCGGCGATCTGTGGTGTGCTGTGTCCCTGGGAAACAGTGGATCACTGGTCAACGGAAAGAGCCAAAGACGTCTGTAGCAAACTTGCTCATCAGAGATGGACGCAGATTCCCCCTTTTTATTAAAAGTATTAATTTATCCTTTATTCTCCTTCCCCCTCAATTCCTGAGAGGCACAGTGACAGATGTGTGTGTGTTAAAAGTTGCTGGCAGGCTAGAGCAGCAAGGGGCCCAGAGCTACAAAGGCACCCCAGAGAGACAGAGCCTGGCTGTCCAAAAACATTTGTAAGCTCTCACCTTGTAACTGAGATAAGGTAGCTTTTCCCAGGACTTGAAAGAGATTGTAACCTCATAAAACCTACCAGCATAGGTGACAGAATTAAATTAACATTCCTCAAGTCAGTTTGTCCCTTGTGTTTCATATCATGGATTATGAAGATGTTGGTTTTAATTCAGAGTCCGCCCGACGATCCCTCCCTAAACAGAGTATTGGTCAGTGACTCAGAGCCACCCCCCCTGCTGGGGGACTTTAAAACAGAGGCTAGCAGGCATAAAAAAGGAAGTTGAAGACATCTCCCAAGTGTAACATCAATATAACACCTGGGGAGACCCTTTGCTCTGAAACTTGGATCTGCTTACGGCTAAGGCTTAAATGGCAAGTAACTTAACCCTTTAACTTCCTTCCTATTATCTCATTGCTGTGCTATGGTTCTTTGTATGTATATATATATATATCTTAGTTACATCTCTTTCTGTAAATATTTTATTGCACCTGTTTGACTCTTTTAGTAATAAATCTTTCTTTCTGAAAGTGTTAAACTGTTTCTAAAGCGCTTAATTGCAATTTACGAATTCCTGCCTCTAAAGAGACGCTACTGTGTTTGTTTAATCCACTGCCAAATCGGCCTGCGGTGACCGTATTGGACAGATGACTTTTCAACTATTACAGTGTATATTTGATAAAGAGAGTTTCCCCTTTCTCTGTACAAAAAGGGGTGGTGGCAGTGTAAGGGTCAGTTGCTTAATAACTTGACCCAGTAACAAGCGCATCCAGGCTGCAGGCACAGATTGAAATCCATTAACTGGAAAATCGCTGTGTAGGGTGCAGCTGGGTGTGGTATTGTTACGCACGTCACATCGCGGTCTGGACCGGCCGTTCCTTCAGTCACGAGTTTGGTAAGAAGGTCTGGGGTCTGACGCCGCGATCGTGACATATTGGTGGTCGCGGTCGTGAGATTGTCGCATGTTGGTGGCGACGATCTTGCGATCGTGACAACGTCGGCTCTGTCATGTGATCAGCTGTGTCCAATCACAGCTGATCGCATGTAAATAAGGAAATACCGGTTATCTCTATTTCTCTCCTCACGAGCTGTCACGCTGACAGCTCGTGAGGAGAGGAGAGCCGGTAATCGGCATTACTCAGAGGGGACACGTACACTGATCATCAGGGCACTGATGATCAGTGTGCCCTGATGATCAGTGTCGCCCCATCAGTGCCACCTGTCAGTGTCCATCAATGCCACCTGCCAGTGCCCATCAGTGCAACATCAATGCCACATATCAGTGCCTACCAGTGCACATCAATGCCACATATCAGTGCCCATCTGAGCTGCTTTTCAGTGCCACCTATCAATGCCAGTTAGTGCCGCTTATCAGTTCTGCCAATCAGTGCCACCTATCAGTGCCAGTCAGTGCCGCCTATCAGTGCCAGTCAGTGCTGCCTATCAGTGCCCGTCAGTTCTGCCTATCAGTGCCACCTACCAGTGCCCATCACTGTAGCTTCATTAGTGCACATCAGTGAGGGAGAAAAATCACTTATTTACAAAATTTTATAACAGAAACATTTTTTATCAAAATTTTCTGTTGTTTTTGGTTTGTTTAGCAAAAAATAAAAAACCCAGAGGTGATTAAATACCACCAAAAGAAAGCTCCATCTGTCTCAAAAAAGTATACAAATTTCATCTGGGTACAGTGTTGCATGACTGCGCAATTGTCATTCAAATTGTGACAGCGCTAAAAGCTGAAAATTGGCCTGGGCAGGAAGGGGGTATAAGTGCCCTGTTTATTTTTAACATACAAAATGCTAAGTGAGCGAACAGAAGAAAAGTCTAGATAAAATTAATATTTGGTGTGACTACCCTTTGGCTTCAAACCAGCATCAATTCTGTTGTTAAAAGGCTTAAAACTGGGTGAGGAACAGCAAAACTCTGCTACTAAGGTGAGGTTGTGGAAGACCGTTTCATGTCACAGGGCATAAACCATGGCAAGACTGAGCACAGCATGCAGGTCTCTAAAAAGCAAAGATTTCAAAGCTGACTGGGGTTTTAAGATGTGCTGTTCATAGACGCAGTAGTCGGCCAAGGAAACTTCATGCAGCAGATGATAGACCCATCATGCTTCAACGTCAGATGTCCAGCAGTGCCATCAGCATGGAACTGGCAGAAGCTAGTGGGACCAAGTACACCCATCTACTGTCTGGGGATGTCTGTCCAGAAAATGGTCTTCATGGAAGACTTGTGGCCAAAAAGCCATACCTCTGACGTGGTAACAAGGCTGAGCAACTCAGCAAATGAAATGCAGCAGGTGCTCTGGACTGATGAGTCAAAATTTTAAATATTTGACTGTAGGAAGAGGGAGTTTGTTCTCCGAAGAGCTGGAGAGCGGTACAATAATGAGTGTCTGCAGGCAACAGTGAAGTATGATGGAGGTTCCTTGCAATTCTGGGGCTGCATTTCTGCAAATGGAGTTGGAGATTTGGTCAGGACCAATGGTGTCCTTAATGTTGAGAAATACAGGAACATACTTATCCATCATGCAATACCATCAGGGAGACATGTGATTGGCCCCAAATTATTCTGGACAACAACCCCAAACATACAGCTAATGTCATTACGAACTATCTTCGGAAGAACAAGGAGTCCTGCAAGTGATGGTTTGGTTCCCACAGAACCCTGATCTCAACATCATCATGTCTGTCTGGGATTACAGGAAGAGGCAGAATGATTAGAGGCAGCCTACACCCACAGAAGATCTGTGGTTAGTCCTCCAAGATTTTGGTAACAACCTACCTGCCGAGTTCCTTCAAAAACTGTGTGCAAGTGTACCTAGAAGAATTGATGATGTTTTGAAGGCAAAGAGTGGTTACACCAAATATTGATTTGATTTGGATTTCTCTTCTGTTCATTTACTTTCCATTTTGTTAAATGATAAAAATAAACTATTAACACTTCTATTTCTGAAAGCTTTCTTATTTTACAGCATTTTTTTACACCTTCCTAAAACTTTTGCAGAGTAGTGTATATAAATGATAACTGAACTTTCATAAACTCTCTCACAAATGTCCTTCTTCCAGCAATAGCACTAATAATCCTCATAAGAACCCATTCCTCTCTGTTTTCCAACATCAGTTTTCTACAGCATGGCCTGCACTTTGGCATTCAGGTAGAAGACTGCAGCACATCTGTTGGCGGACTGCCATTATTCTGTATGGAAGTGCCCTTTCATTACCAAGCACATGTACCTAGTTTTGTTAATGCAATTTGGATTGAATGGATAGGCTGCAGCAGCCTTGGGCACCAGCACAGCTTAAACTGGTAAAGGAGAATACATTTTGGCTTCTTAGCCATCCAAAACAATTTCTAGCTGTGATGTGTCATTATGTTAATTATGTCAATTTCATTAAAAGCAAACTACCAGGGCCCCTGCTGATATATTTTAATCTATACATTTTTATATCATCTGTGTTTTTAATAAAGTGAACTTTGTATAACTACAAATAACTGCTAGAAACTCCATGTGATGGCTAAGAAGCCAAAATGTTTCCTGCTTCACAAAGTATTCTGCGCATGCAATGTTTAAATTCACATCCCTTTACTGATATTTTTGTTCACATTTACAAACAGATCAATTTGTCTGCAAAAACACAGAGACAAGGGGTATAAGCACCCCTGGATGTGTTCTAGTTTGTCCCAACCCCAATCACTTTTGTTGGACAGTTTGTGTTTTCTATATCATTGTGTTGAGTAGGGAACCATCTGTTGGGTGTTCACTGAAACTGTACCTGATGCTATTATTCTCTTTAACAAGCACAGGAAGTGTCTCATGCTTGTGAAGAATAAATATTTCCCATAAACCAATGCAGCCATTTAGCTCCTATGAAGGTCTCCTCCATTCTTCCTTTGATACACATATGCTTGTAAGCTCTTTGTGTTTGTTAAAGTTACATACCATATTTTTTGCTTCATAAGACGCACTTTTTTTCCCCCAAAAAAATGGGGGAAAATGTCTGTGCGTCTTATGGAGCGAATATGGAGCTGCCGGACCAGTATTCTCACCGCTGTGTTAGTATACAGGACTGGCTGCTTGGCTCTTCAGTGCAGCAGAACCTGCTCCTCGGTCCTACCTGTTCCTCGGTCCAACGGTGTCTTTACCGTCTTCTCTCCATGGCGCTGGCATCTTTAGTGTGGGCACCCAGCTGTGACAGCTTGTGGCTTCACAGCCAGGTGCCTACTGCACATGTGTGAGAAGCGCTGTGCTTTGTGAATGATCCAGCAGTCTTCTGGGACCTGTCACATGTGCCAGAAGACAGGAGCGGGTACCTGTCAAATTTGGGTGCCCGCTCCCCCCTTCCCTTCCTCTCCCCAAAGCTCTGAATCTCTGTTTATCTCCTGTACTGTGTCCGCAGTCTCTGGTCATCTCCTGTACTATGTCCGCAGTCTCTGGTCATCTCCTGTACTGTGTCCGCAGTCTCTGGTCATGTCCTGTACTGTGTCCGCAGTCTCTGATCATCTTCTGTACTGTGTCTGCAGTCTCTGGTCATCTCCTGTACTGTGTCTGCAGTCTCTGGTCATCTCCTGTACTGTGTCCGCAGTCTCTAGTCATCTTCTATACTATGTCTGCATTCTCTGGTCATCTCCTGTACTGTGTCCGCAGTCTCTAGTCATCTTCTATATTATGTCTGCATTCTCTGGTTATCTCCTGTAGTATGTCCGCAATCTCTGGTCATCTCCTGTACTGTGTCCGCAGTCTCTGGTCAACTCCTGTACTGTGTCCGCAGTCTCTGGTCATCTTCTGGATAGCGTATGTACTCTCCAGCGCCTCAGGATATGCACAGCCAAAAGGGAAGCCAAGGGTACCAGGACAGCGACAACCAAAAGGAAATGTTCCAGGGGTGCAGCCCTCCTCAGACGGGGAAATCAGCCACTGGATAGAGAGAAAACAGGTGGCGCACACACCTAGTGCATTATCCAAGGTTTATTGTAGGAATTAAATCATAAAAACATACTCACAGACGAAGCATGTATCTAAAAAGCATAGAAAAATGAAATGGCCACAACGGCGGGCAAGGTGTTGATGCCTCAACAGCGAGGCTCTGACTTTACTTTCCATTCATCATACATCAGCATCAGAGGTTGGACATCAGCTCTGAGGAAAGGGATTCGTCCCCGAAACGCGTCAGCCATTTGACCGCACTGACAGTGAGAACACCTTGCCCGCCGTTGTGGCCATTTCATTTTTCTATGCTTTTTAGATACATGCTTTGTCTGTGAGTATGTTTTTATGATTTTATTCCTACAATAAACCTTGGATAATGCACTAGGTGTGTGCGCCACCTGTTTTCTCTCTATCTGGTCATCTTCTGTACTGTGTCCGCAGTCTCTGGTCATCTCCTGTACTGTGTCTGCAGTCTCTGGTCATCTCCTGTACTGTGTCCGCAGTCTCTAGTCATCTTCTATACTATGTCTGCAGTCTCTGGTTATCTCCTGTACCGTGTCCGCAGGCTCTGGTCATCTCTTGTACTATGCTGCAGTCTCTGGTCATCTCCTGTACTATGCCGCAGTCTCTGGTCATCTCCTGTACTGTGTCCGCAGTCTCTGGTCATCTCCTGTACTGTCCGCAGTCTCTGGTCATCTCCTGTACTATGTCTGCAGTCTCTAGTCATCTCCTGTACTATGTCCGCAGTCTCTGGTCATCACCTGTACTGTGTCTGCAGTCTCTGGTCATCTCCTGTACTGTGTCCGCAGTCTCTGGTCATCTCCTGTACTATGCTGCAGTCTCTGGTCATCTCCTGTACTATGCCGCAGTCTCTGGTCATCTCCTGTACTGTGTCCGCAGTCTCTGGTCATCTCCTGTACTTTCCGCAGTCTCTGGTCATCTCCTGTACTATGTCTGCAGTCTCTAGTCATCTCCTGTACTATGTCCGCAGTCTCTGGTCATCTCCTGTACCATGTCCACAGTCTCTGGTCATCTCCTGTACTGTGTCCGCAGTCTCTGGCCATCTCCTGTACTATGTCCGCAGTCTCTGGTGATCTCCTGTAGTATGTCTGCAGTCTCTGGTCATCTCCTGTATTATGCCTGTAGTCTCAAGGTCATTTCCTGTACTATGTCTGCAGTCCATTGGTTCAGAATATTTTTTTCTTGTTTTCCTCCTCTAAAACCTAGGCGCGTCTTATGGTCAGGTGCATCTTATGGAGTGAAAAATACAGTACATAGCTAGATTGCACTTCAATGTATTCAATGTGATTCGTAGGTAGAGGTTTGCAAGAAATGTGTTCATTGTAATCATTTGTGAGAGACATATTTACAAGCATATTGTAATTTCAGTTTATGTGATTGTATTGCAGTTTTACAGAACTATTCACATAAGTAAATTCAGTTTTGGAATGAAAACACAACGCTGCTTCTGTCAGTTTTGTTAGCTAGCTGTCGGCTAACCATTAGTAGGACAGCATAGTTTGCCTTATATGTAAATGTTAATAAAAAATATAAAATAAAGGCATGTGAAATAAAAAAAGAATTCAGACTCTAATAATATCTTTACATGTATTGACCCCAGAACATTATCAGAATAATCTGCACTTAGCAGTTAATTTGTATGCATGTAGTGTAAAATATAGACTGCACTAAAGTGAGTATGTACCTAATTTGATGAGTTCTGCATTGCTGACCCCATGTGCTGTAGGTGTATTAGGCATCCAGCCAGCACATAAATAAAATTGAAATTGGGCATTGCATGGGTAGTGCATTTCATACCTGCTTAAAAAATGTTTATTTGAAACAACCATGACCCCTTTTCTTTTCAATCCTACCCTCTTCTCCAATAAAAGGTTAAAAAAAAATCATATACATCAATTATTTTATTACTTAGAACTGGGGGTGCATCAGTTCCATTATTGGTGTTCTTAAAGTATTACTAAACCCACAGTAAAATCAGCCTGTATATGCAGTAAAGCACGCTTGTTATACTCACTGTGGAACTTAAGGAGTTAATCCTCTGCATTGTGTAAAAAAGCTGTTTGATCTTCTCTGATCCTCCCCTTCTTCCAGTGCCCCCCTCTTATTTCCTTATAAGACATGTGTGGAGACACTCTGCATATGCTCAGTTTGGTGCTAGAGAGGTTTTTTTTTTTCTTGGGAGAGTGCATGTGATCAGCACAGGGCCAATCAGCACTGTCCAGACAGAGATCAGGGGTCCTGCATCCTCCTTGTGCAAAATTAAAACTCCTCCTACAAGCTTTAACCAGTGCTCTGCTGGACACTGATAGAAATCACAAGACTGCTCTAACTGCTGATGAGAAAAGGTATTTAGCAGTTTATATTTACTAAAATAATTGCATTTCCATGTTCTGTGTACTGCGGGAGACCAGATTTAGCAAATGCAGGGTCCTTGGTTTAATATCACTTTAATGACTCTTCCACGTAAAAAAGATGAGTCAAGCAGGCAAGCATAATTTTATTTGTGGTTGTCACCTGTCACCTCTTCACCCTTTTATATCCATAGAAGAAATTAAATTTCCTTTATAAAAACCTTAAAGAATATGGAAACCCAAAATGTCATATTCCTGATATGTGCCTGCTGTACCACGTACTTGTATGAAAAAGTATCCTGTCTTTGTATTGCTTTCTTTGTGTGAAATCCCTGGTGTTCCTGACAGTCCTTCTGATTTCCTATTAAAAACTGACCACACTAGGCATGCACGAACAGCGTGGTCAGTTCTCTAGCTACTGTATGTTTGGGGGCTTTTATTTTTTGCCACTATTTATATTGTGGTTTTGTGCTGTAATAATAGTTATGACTAAAGCAGTGTAGGCTGAAATGTGTCAACTTTTCTGTATAGTGATTTCTCAATAAACCAAGATTTTTAAGAGCAGCAACGGTGGTGCTGACTATTTTAATGGGATATTCTCTACAGCTGTGTGACTGCAGGTTGGGCAACCGTAATTTCTATTAAAACAGTTATATTAATATGTATGATGTAATTATGTAAAGGAATGGATGGGTAGTAGTACTATACTTTACTAGCTTTATCATAAATGCTGAGAACTCAGCCTGCTCTCCTCCAATAATCAGACTTCTAATCACACACCTCCGCCCTTCCACCTTTGCACAGCCTTTTACTGCGGAAGGCTGTGCAAAGTACTGCTGTTTCTCCTCCCCAGCTCTTATGCAGATGAGGGTTTACAATCACTTTAAGATATTGTGAGATTACAGCAAAAGACATGTAGAAGCATCTTTCTCACTTCTACCTTTACTAAAAGAAGTGATAAAACAGTTTGGCCATCTGTATAAATTAACGGAAAAAAAAGTACTACGGATGAAACTTTCACAGTAGCAGGCAGCAGTTATGAAGAGAAAAGAAAAAGTTGTGAACCTCTGTAGACTTTTATTGCTGTGACTCCATTAGGGAAAAGATACCAGCAATGATAAACGCCAGAGTTTCTAAACCTTATTCACAGTATCCAAAATTAGAAATAAAATTTACTGCAGTTCCACTTAAAATACTTAAAATCCACTTCACTTCTAATAATATATAGATATTTTCTGTTTACTGTTAAGCTCTAATATCTAAAATAGTCTTGAATTTAAAAGAGAAGGGCTTTTTTCCCCCAAAATACCTAGGTGGATGCAGCATTGGTCCAATACTGCATCTGTCCCCCGCCAGCTTTAAGTGTGAGAACTCAGTGATCACATGACCACTGACTGCTGAGTTCTCACCGCCACTATGAGCAAAGAGCGGTGACTGTCAGTCAACGCTCTCGTCTCTGCCACTCTCAGCGCTCATTGGAGCGCTGGGCTGTGGAGGGAGTAGCTGGCTGAGGCTCTCAATGGCTTGCTGAGAAGCTGAGCCAGGTGCCACTCCAGACTCTGGGGTAAATCCCAACTTTAAAGTCGGGATCTTTCCCGAGCCTGGAACGGCTGAGTGACTTCAGCCGACATCAGGCTTCATCCCACTGTCAGCTGAAAACAGGTGACAGGAGTGCAGAATGAACTGCACTCCTGTGATCCACAGGAGACGTACAGTCAGCAGAGTTTTGTTAGCAGAGGCTGTACTTCTCCTTTAAAAAAAAGATATACTACATTTTACAAATCTAATTAACCTAGGCATGTATCCATCCCTTCTGTTGAGTTTCATAAGCTAAATGTTTCAATTTCAGAAGCATTAGCTAAATCCCTTCATGCTATTGTAAAGTTATTTGGAGGAGAACGGACATAGGAGAGAGAGGAGTGCAATTAATTTTGCCCTTCTCAGTATCATTCATAGATCCCACTTTAACATACTGTTCAGTGAAATGTAACTGATCATTTAAAAACTATATCCCTTTTTGGTTGTCATGGTGAAAAGAATAAAAGATGAAGATTCATATTACCATGATAAACACTTCAATCTGATTATTCAAAAGGACAAAAAAGAAAGCATCATCTTTTATGCATGCTTTTTAAAAAGGACAAATTATGTCGATTTACATATATAAAAATATCACTGATTATTTATGGTCACCTAGTTAAAGTAGAACTTCAGTTTCTAAATATATTTTTATAATAAACTGACCAAAAATTTCAACAATAAAAAAAATGCAGATTTTGATGCAATGCTTACCTTCTCTCTGGCACTCTCTTCTGTATGCCAGTCCTCTTCTGTCAGCTTCATTTTACCTTCTTCCTATGGGCCCAAGCTATCATGGACACAAGCCCTGGGGGTGCATCACCACACCAGCCTGGTTTCTCAATACAATACTGCAGGGAGGGTTAACACTGCTCTCTGCAGTATAGAAGACCAACACTAACTCCATAGCAAAAAAAGGACCCCCGATTTAAATTTCACAAGCCAGAAGACCACTTGGTTTAAATTATGTACAGTATAACGAGAATAAAAAACAAAAATATTGTGGAAATGGTCTTTCACTAAGTCTTTCATAAGTGTTCCCCATGTGTTCATGTCTGAATAGAAAAGTGCTTTGATGTAGTTTGATGGAGATTATGTTGAGTTCAGAACACAACTATTTGAAATGACTCCATAAAACAGTGGAGAATTTTGAACCCCCCTCTACAAGTATACTAATATTATAAATTAACCAGAAATGTAAGTAAACTAGTTGGGTAATATGATGATTACATGCTAGGTTACTGAAGATACACACAAATTAACCACTTCAAGTCCGGACACTTTTACCCCCTTCCTGTCCAGGCCAATTTTCAGCTTTCAGCGCTATCACACTTTGAATGACAATTGCGTGGTCATACAACACTGTACCCATATGAATTTTTATAGCATTTTTTTGAGACAGGTAAAACTTTATTTTGGTGGTATTTATTCACCACTGGGATTTTTATTTTTTTTTGCTATATAAATAAAAAAGTCCAAAAATGTTGAAAAAAAAAGTGTTTTTCTTATAACATTTTGCAAATAAATAATCTTTTTTCATAAATCTTGGCCAAAATGTATTCAGCTATCTTTTTAGTAAAAAAAAGATAACCCAAATTAGTTTATCATTATCATTTTTAAAATGTTTTGTTTATATTTTTCTTTTTTTTTTTATATTATTATTATTTATGGGTTTTTTTACATACTGGCACCCTAGCAGTACAGTGACCATAGTGGCACTGTACTACTTGTGGGGGGTGATGAAGATTTATTTATTTATTTATTTTTTATATTATTATTTATGGTTTTTTTTTTAACATACTGTCACCCTAGCAGTACAGTGTCACCATAGGGACACTGTACTACCTGTGGGGGGGTGATGATTTTTTTTTCTTTTTTTACACTGATTGCTTTTACACTCATAAAGGCTGTAAAATCTATTATTTCTCCTCTGTGACTGCATTCTTGCAGCCATTGAGAAATACTGTGAGAGATGTGATTGGTCACAGCTTGTCACATGGTAGAAGGCTGTTGTGAATAGCCTTGTATCATGTGACCTCCGTGATCATTCACAGATTTCACTAGTAGTAAGCAATGATGTCATTAGTGACATTTTGCTTACTACTATTCATGTGATCACTGATTAGCCAATCAGTGATCACATGATCGGAACCTCACACAGAGGTCCCGTACAGTGATCGGTGTTCTGCTGTGTCCGGAGGACACAGCGGGCACTGGACCGCGGTACCGCGCGCTCCCTGGGCTGAAAATGCAGGCACCGTTTATGAATGGCAATCCACTCCTGCACTGCTTCCATCCGGCCGTTTATGTATATGTGCCGTCCGGGAAATGGTTAAAAAGCCTCTCTAGACAACAAGAAAGAACAATAGGGTTGATTTACTATATTGACAATATTCCCATTTGCAAGGGAAGTTGCAGTTTGCAAGGTAGTTTGCCGCAGAGGTTATTGAATGTGGTGAAATTTTACTTTGCCTAGAATACCTAATAAAGAACCTCTGAAGCAATACTAAAAAGTAAACATTTTATATATGTACAAATTTTATAAGATCTAAGCCTCACAAATTACAGTATGCAAAAGTGTATATCATGTATTACTTACACACGCCATTTTGTTTGAAACAATGTTGTAATATGGCCAACATCAACTGGTCCAGCCAGTAATGTATTGAGCTGCTCATGCATTCCTAGGTAAGAAATAGTTATAGGGGAAACATATATAGGGTAACCCAGAGGCTGATCACAGGATGAGTTGATTAGATTTCTTAACACATGCTTGTTATTCTGAATGCTACCCCGTTCATGGTCACGGTTCCTAAGGAAAATTAGTTCCTGTTGTTGTCCAGCCCAAAGTCCTCGAACACATTCCTTGTTGACCTGAAATGAAAATGCAATGATTAAAATCATAAACGTAGAAGTAGTACTGTTAATTTTCATCAATTGACTATGCAGTGTAAAAATATACGTACTACTTCTGGGTTACACCTATGGCACACAATCAGTTATGACTCAACAGGGGGTACAAAAAGACCACTTTTTCTACATAGACAGCAGAGGTACTGCTTTGCAACACACAGGTAGGGTAAAGGAATTCCCCCTGATGAAGCCACGTGACCCAGTGGCGTAACCCATAGGGGAGGGGCTCTGACGTCATGACGCTTAAAGGCAAACCACACAGCAAGTATATGGGAGTGTGGCAAACTTACTAAGGATCATACAAAATTGTACCAAAGGCGATATTTATTTGTTTATTGTGTGAGTGCACTACATTTATTTAATAAATCTTTTAAAAAGAAGTTAAGGCACTATATTTTCTTTTTGATTGCATGGAACATATATAAATGGAGGAAAAAGTCTGAAAGGAGTCAAGAGACCTCCTAGTGGGAAGAGGAATAACTCCATCCATCCATCCACCTCCAGGAAAAGGACCTCTTGATAACAGCAAGACCCCCTGCTGGGAAAGATGAAAAACTCCATTCATCCATCCATTTGGGATACAGGGATTTATCCATTTATCCACCTCTGAGCCCAATTAAAGGGACACAAGCTTGTATGACCTTACTTAACGGTTTGGTCATATACGTCAGGTGAGAGCACAACTGGTGAAGCAGCACAATATATATAAATTTGGTGGACTATATTTTAGTAATATATCATAGAAGACACCATAGGATCACGGATTGTTAAAGGATTCTTTTTGAGGATTTTTTGTGAAGACATGCATGCAACTCTAGCGTGATTCCACAATCACACTGTGGAAATTTACTAGGACTCAGTCACTTGATAGTATTTGTTTATATTTTATTAATAATTTAATTTATGTTAATTTATTATATTGAAAGTGGAGCGCAACACCACAGGTTTTTTTTTTATTCGTTTTTTTTGATGCAGAAAAGGGATTCTTTCTGAATAACACAAACTGTAAGATTCTGAACACCTTTTGTTTCCATATACCTGCAATGTATTTAGCTGATAGCATTCTTTGCTGGATAATTTTCAGCCTGTGCATCTACCCAGTGGCCCCATTTATCCATGTGGATAGAGGTATACTCTGCAGGACAGCTGGAGACCGCCATGAGTATGGATCCCCATAGGAATGAATGGGGACATGGCATGCATGTGCAGGATATACAGTATATACAGATATAGGACAGAATGGAGTCTGGCGGGGATAAGGTGAATATAAGACCAGGTGGGCTCCACTTGGGGGGTAGCTGCATTCATTAAAAGACAACTTGTATTAAATAATACAATACTAATAATACAATACTGACAGTTCAGTGGGGCTCCTACCCCCCCCTCTCCCCCCTTACATTTTCTGCCAATTCCCATCTATCAGCTGAGAATTGCTGTATAAATACAGTAGCTATTACAAATGCTGCTATCAGAAAAGAATCTTCTGACAATGTGTTTATAAACATTGATTAGCAGTGATATCATGTTACACGTGCATTGTTTGTTTCCCTTTAAATAATTTTGTCCTTTTCCTCACTCCATAGCTAGGGGACGCTTTATGTATTTAGTCTCACCCTTCCTCTTCTTCATGCTTTGGTCTCCATTCGTAACATGCTGTATTCTGCTGAAGATTAAACACACTATGATTTTTAACCTAATCTAATATTCATCTGTAAAGATCTGCATAAGTTTTTCGATTAAAGCTTTCTACAATCTGCAGGATGTCATTTGGATTGTGTAACTGTCTACCAAGTGACTAGACTGTAAATTAAGCTAGCTCACAATAACTGGATCAGCTACAGAGATCACACTTTCAGTGCTTAGATTACAGAAGCAGAACAGGTGAGATAGAGAGATATTGGTATTATTAATTACTCTATTTCATTAATTTGCAGATCAAAGGGATACGCTTTTATCAGCATTTAATATTAGTTAAAGTAGAATTCTGGGCTATCACTAACTAATCTTAAAATTGCTCCCACCCTCCTTCTAACACCTATACCAACTAACCTGTAGAAGAAAGATGTATGCACTGCACTTCAGGCTGCTCCAGTCCAGTCATGTGATCTCCCCTGTATCAGCCAGTGCTGGCTCCAGAGAAGAACGCTCTGACAATGGCTGGAATACCTAAGTGGTGATGTCTCCCCATAGGCTTACTATGGGCCATCTGTTGTCAGCTTTCCTTCCTCTTCCCCGAAGCAGCTGCTACAGAGGGGAACTGATCATGTGACGGGACCGGAGCGCACAGAAAATAGGTAAGTATATGCAATGCTCCTCTACCGTTTAGTTAGTATAGGTGTTAGGAAGTGGTAGGAGCAGTTTTAAGATTAGTTAGTGCCCACATGGAAGAAAAATATATTTGAAATATATTTTAAAAATATTCTTCCAAAATATATTGACATATTTGAAACACCACAATTTTGCCCATATTCAATATATTTCAAAAATATATTTAAAGTTTTTATATTGTATACAGTATATACGTGATTTTGCATTTACAGGTAGTGCCCTACCCATGCCGCCATTGGCAGCCTCAGCTGTCGATTCCCGGTGATCGCCGAGTATCACTGATGAGGGAGAGGCCCGTATGTAAACAATACAGATCTCTGCCTTGCTAGCTCCTGCTTAGCAGAGCAATACAAAGCAATGTGCTGATACAGTGAAATATACACACACAGCACACAGGTAACTTATTGATCACCCCAGATGTTAGTTGATCGCCGCCATTACTAGTATAAAAAAAAAATTCCAGTATTTATACTTAGATTTTTTACATTTCTTTACTGGACATGTTTAAACCACTTGCTTACCGGGCACTTATACCCCCTTCCTTACCAGGCCAATTTTCAGCTTTCAGCGCTGTCGCACTTTGAATGACAATTGCACGGTCATGCAACATTGCACCCATATGAAATTTTTAGAATTTTTTTCTCACAAATAGAGCTTTCGTTTGGTGGTATTTAATCACCGCTGGGTGTTTTACTTTTTGCGCTATAAACAAAAAAGAGCAAAAAATGTGAAAAAAAAGTTTCTGTTTTTTACTTTTTGCGCTATAAACAAAAAAGAGCAAAAAATGTGAAAAAAAAGTTTTCTTTGTTTCTATTATAAAATTTTGCAAACAGGTAATTTTTCTCCTTCACTGACGTGCGTTGATGAGGAGCACTGATGGGCACTGATATGCGGCACTGATACGCAGCACTAATGAGGTGGCACAGATAGGCGGCAATGATAGGCGGCAGTGATGATGGGTACTGATAGTCAGCACTGATAGGCAGCACTGCTGGGCATTGACTGGCACAACTGCTGGGCACTGACTGGTGGTATTGACTGGCAGCACTGCTGGGCTGCACTGATGGGCACTGGTGGGTGGCACTGCTGGGTACAGGTGGTTGGCACTGCTGGGTAGCACTGCTTGGCACAGGTGGGCGGCACTGCTGGGCACAGGTGGGCGGAACTGGTGGGTGGCACTGCTGGAAACCGATCATCAGGGCACTGATCATCAGTGCCCAGATTATCAGTGCCGATCCCTGCTCTGACAACTGCCACTTCTCGGCAGTACTTTCCTCGCGCTCTGACAGTGTGAGGAAAGTGCAGCCGAGAACCGGCAATTGCATTTCCTTGTGATCAGCATGTCATTGGACACGGCTGATCACGTGGTAAAAGGCCGCTGTGATTGGCCTTTGGAGATCGCCGGGTGCGAGCCGCGGAAAGCGCGTTCTGGGAAGACGTCATATGATGTCCACCCAGAATTGGCCGGCCGAAGTGTAGCTGTCATTCAGCTATCTGCGGTCAGCAACTAGTTAATAGGCGATCAAATACCACAATTGTCAGTTAAAGTAACGCAGTGCCATATTGCACAAAATGGCCTGGTCAGGAAGGGGGGTAAATCCTCTGGAGGGCAAGAGGTTAAATAAACACAACGTTATTGCCAAATAGACAGGCCTATAACAGAAATGTAAAAATTGCTTATTATGTATTTTTATACTTTAAATACAAAATATTTGTTTGTACAAATAAACATTTAACACAGGGTGCACCTTAACACAGAATTCACACAGCATTATGGTCCTAATGTATCAACATATCATACTAAGAAACTGTAGTTTTTTATTTTACACAGCGCCAAGCTTTTAGAACATTTAAAGTTGAACTCCAGCTTTTGTTACACTTTACACGCTTGTTTGGGCCAAGCTGGCACAAACGAATTATGTCCCTCACTAACATGTGAGGCTGCTGGATGTGCTGTATATACTGTATGTAGCCAAGGCTACATACAGTATATAGCACTGTGTTCTAGGTGCGAGCTGGGACCTTCCTGTCTCATACCTGGTACACAACAGAGTCTGAGCAGCCCTCAGCCATTCATAAAAAGCAAAGTATTCTATCTATGAATAAAAAGCTTCCTCTGATTGGTGGGCTGATGATGTCACAACCTCTGACTCTGCCAATCAGAGGAAATAGAACAAAGAAAACCTAAAAAAGAAAGTAATGCTGCCACCACATCTAAGAATTGGTAAGCTGTAATATAATAAATTTTTGCTTTTGGATTTAATAACGCTTTAATGCTAGTCCTTATAGGTTTTCCAAAGCAAAGGTGAAAATCCATATTCAGTGTGTCACAAAAATGCCTGGTGAGGCATGTCAAGATGTTTTCAGCCATATTGTAACCAGGCTTTTTTGTGGCATTGGAGCAGTAAAGGCTTCTTTCTGGCAACTCAACCATGCAGTTCATTTTTGTTCAAGTATCCTCGTATTGTGCTCCTTAAAAGCAACCACAGAGTCTTTTTCCAGAGCAGCCTTTCTTTCTCCTGAGGTAACCTGTGGGTTTTTCTTTGTATACTGAACAATTCTTCTGGCAGTTGTGGCTGCAATTTTACGTCGTCTTGGTATTAGAGATCCCCAAATTTTCTACTTCTTAATAAGTAATTGAACAGTATATTCAAGGGTTTGGATATCTTTTTTATATTCTTCTCCATCTTTATAAAATTCAATTGTAAAATTCAACAAATACCTTGTTATGCAGATCTTTTGACAGTTCTTTTCTGCTCCCCATGGCTCAGTGTCTAGCTTGCTCAATGCATCCATGTAAGAGCTAACAAACTCATTGACTATTTTTACACAGACACTAATTGCAATTTAAAAAGTCACAGATGTTTGGAAATTAATCTTTAATTGCCATTTTACCCTGTGTGTGTCAACATTCCAAGGTATGTAAACTTTTGATCAGGGCCATTTGGATGATATCTGTTATCATTAGGATTTAAAAAGGAGCCAAACAACTGAGTGATAATAAATGGCTTCATATGATCACTATCCTCAAATAAAAGACATTTTTTGGCATGATTAGTCATATTTTCAATATCAATGTAAAAAATTTCACGGTTTCTGCTAGGGTATGCAAACATTTGAGCATACCTGTATATATTAAACAGTATATATCACATGCCTATATGGGGAAACCAGAGCAATTTAGTTAGCAGAGAGGAACTGTTTGGCAGCAGCTTTGCAAGTACTTTATTGTTTCAGATTTAGAAACCAGATCTAATTCCCTGTTTGAAAGTGGATTTTGATATGTATAGAGAAACAGACAGCCTAGGATTTATTTGTACAGTTGCAAGAAAAAGTATGTGAACCCCTTGGGATTACGTGGAGTTTTGCATGAATTGGGCATAAAATGTGCTCTGAACGTCATCTAAGTTACCACGATAGAAGAACACAGTCTGCTGAACATAATACTACACACAAACACATTAGATGTTGCCATGGTTTAATTGCACATAACATGTAAACATTCACAGTGCAGGGAGGAAAAAGTATGTGAGGCCCTAGCTTAATGACTTCTCCCAGAGCTAATTGGAGCCAGGAGTGAGCCAACCTTGACTCCAATCAGTGTGATGATATTGGATGTGTTGCTGACAGCTGTCCTGCCCTTAAAAAAACACACACCTGTTTTAGGTTAACTGGTTTCAAGAAGCACTGTCTGATGTGAACCATGCCTCGCAGAAAAGAGCTCTCAGAAGACCTACGATGAAGAATTGTTGACTTGCATGAAGCTGGAAAGGGTTACAAAAGTATCTTCAAAAGCCTTGATGTTCATGTGTCCACGGTAAAGACAGACTGTCTACAAATGGAGAAAGTTTAGCACTGTTGCTACTCTCCCTAGGCGTGGTCGTCCTGTAAAAATGACTGCAAGAGCACAGCGCAGAATGCTGCATGAGGTAAAGAAGAATCCCAGAGTGTCAGCTATAAATCTACAGAAATCTCTGGCACATGCTAACATTGTTGTTGACACATCTACGATAAGGAAAACATTAAACAAGAATGGAGTACATGGGAGGACACCACGGAGGAAGCTATTGCTGTCCAAAAAGAATATTGCAGCACGTTTGAAGTTTGCAAAAGAGCACCTGGATGTTCCTCAGCACTACTGGCAAAATATACTGCGGACAGATGAAACCAAGATTGAGTTGTTTGGGAAGAACACACTACACTATGTGTGGAGAAAAAAAGGCACAGCACACCAACATTAAAACCTCATCCCCACTGTAAAACATGGCGGAGGGAGCATCATAGTTTGGGGCTGCTTTGCTGCCTCAGGGCCTGGACGGATTGTTGTCATTGATGGGAAAATGAATTCCAGAGTTTATCAAGACATTTTGCAGGAAAACGTACGACCATCTGTCCGCCAACTGAAGCTCTGCAGAGGATGGGTGATGCAACAGGACAATGACCCAAAGCATACAAGTAATTCAACAAAACAATGGCTGCAACAGCACAGAATACGCCTTCTGGAGTGGCCCAGTCAGAGTCCTGACCTCAACCTGATTGAAATGCTGTGGCATGACCTTAAGAGAGCGATTCACACCAGACATCCCAAGAATATTGCTACACTGAAACAATTTTGAGAAGAGGAGTGGTCCAAAATTACTCCAGATCGTTGTGCAGGTCTGATCTGCAACTACAGGAAACAGGTTATTGCTGCCAAAGGAGGGTCAACCAGTTATTAAGTCCAAAGGTTCACATACTTTTTCCTCCCTGCACTGTGAATGTTTACATGTTATGTGCAATTAAACCATGGCAACATCTAATGTTTGTGTAGTATTATGTTCAGCAGACTGTGTTCTTCTATTGTTGTGACTTAGATGACGTTCAGAGCACATTTTATGCCCCAATTCATGCAAAACTCCACGTAATCCCAAGGGGTTTGAAGCCTGACCTGCTGTATGGACTCTTGCTACCTGTAAAAAGCAACCCCACTTGGGCTTTATCTATACTAAAAGAGTTTTGCTAGCGTGAAAGCCATCACATGGAAACTGCTTTGGGCTTTGTAGTGCATAATACCTTCCATAGAAAAATTAATAATCCACAGAAATATAAATGGAAACACATTTATATCTAAAGTGACAAGACAAATACACATTCCAATGAGAGAACCAGCGTGAAAAAATTCTATTACCTTTATAACTTTAAAGCTGAGGTAACTTTTTTGAAGCATAATCACACTGTAGTCATCATTCCCTTCATCAACAACATGTCTCAATGTCAGAAGCTCTTCTTTGTTAGAAAGTATTGCAGCTCTCCAAGCAGGATCTTTTTCATCACAAATTACAACCTTTTCTTCAAATACCTTAATTGCATCAAAAAGTGCAGGATGATCTTCATATTCTTCAGGACAAGCAAACTGACTCTGGAAAAATTCCCAAAATATTCTTAAAAGAAACTTGAACACTTGAGATTTTAACAGCTTTTCTTTTTTTTTAGTTTCCGAACTATTGTATTACAAGCTGCACATATATAAAAAATGTTTATAGGGTCTTAAAAAACCTGAGGCACCTCAAGCAACTAGACCAGAATGTTGATCTTTTAGTCAATATATGGTGCCATAGTAGGTTTCAGGCTTTCACGATTGGTATAGTGATGGCATACATATTTTATATGTGATTTCACAGTTACTTTTATGATGTAACAGTAAAGATTCTTATGTCATAGTCTAACTAGCATATTGTAATTCTCAATATGATGATGCCATGGTAGATATTTTAATGAAACAATCCTGTATATGTAATGCCAAAGTATGTATGTCAATACAGTTAGTAATTCTTGTGTCATAGTAACTATTATGATGTCAAAGTCAAAAGTGTGATATCTGTCGAGAGGCATGCGCTAGGGGTGTCCACTGTCCCTGCTGATTTATACCCTGGCAATTGCCATCAGAGCACATCCAAATATTAGAGGCCTGTGCTGGGGAGCCTAGTGGAAGCAATAGTCTTTATGCAGATGATATGCTTTTGTATCTGAAAGATGCAGATTCCTCTTTAATGACTGCACCAAATCTTATTAAACATTTTGGGGAGTACTCAGGACTACAAATTAATTAGGATTCCAAATTCTACCCTTAGATCTTGGGGCCCCTACAGCTGAGTAAGCTTCCCTTCCCCTGGTGAGAGTGAGTCAAATTAAATGCAGATACAGATTTCCCGCTCCTTTGTACACAATACTTAAAACTAAAACTCAGATGTGGACCAGTCTTCCCCTTGGGGTTATGGGCCGCATAAACTTAATAAAGATGAGCTTGCTACCAGAGCTATTGTATATTTTTTTTGGTTTCCCCTGTGTATCTGCCTCTTCATACTTTCAAATCTTTGGAGTCCATTCTCAACACTTTTATTTGGGGTAACTCCCGACACATATTATCCATGGGGACCCTGAAGAATCCCACAGATTTGTGTGGTATTGCTCTACCAGATTTTAACTTATATTACCTAGCTGCTCAATTGTTCCATTTTTTTCACTTTGACAAAGAGGATAAGGATTGCTATATCTCTCTGGCTTGCTCATGTACTAATGGGTTGATGGTCCATCCCTACCAGACCCTTCGAGGTGATACGCATGATCCTGCCAATCTGGGAGGCTGCAGGGGTCTGGTCTTCCATCATTGTAAAATATGGGAATTGGCCCTTCGTACTGTAAAACAAAAGCCCCACCCTTACATGCTCGTACGCCCCTTTGGGGTAACTCCTGTTTACCAGAACTGCTCACTATACCTGATTATGAGTTGTGGATTGATAAGGGAGTTATATACCTATCCCACATGATTACAACTTGTGGTTTCAAATCATTTCAGGATCTTTCATTTTGAATTTGCATTGCCTAACTCCATGTTCTTTCATTATCTCCAGCTCCATCATGCACTGCATACCGAATTTGGGGACACGTTGCCTATTCTTGAGTTTCTTCATTTATTGGATGTATGCTTAGGTAATGACCCCAAAAAGCTAACATCCACTTTTTATAATTCCCTCCTTCAACCAGCAGCTGCGAATTTAGCTTACCAGTTGAAAACTAAATGGGTGGCAGATTTGGGGGAGCTGGAGGATGATGAATGGGAGGATGTTTTAGAATCTAGCAAACTGATCTCCCCATAACCTTCTGATCGCCTCACCCACCTGTATATTTTACATAGAGCTTATCTAACTCCTATTTGTTTAATGAGGTATCGGCCACAACACAGCCCTCTTGCCCCAGATTTGGGCACCTAGTGGTTCTTTCTATTATCTATTATGACCACCTGGTCATTCAAGGTCATTGGGCCCAGGTGGTTTCTACATGATCACATGGGCTCCGCACTAACCATATGCCCTAAACAATGCCTCCTGGGGCTTCTTCGTTATCGAGACAGTGATAAACATTTACATGTTTTTCTTCAAGAAACATTTTTGTTGGCAGGAAGCTAATTGCAAGGGTCTGGCTCAGAGCTTCACCATTGACAATTCAGCATTGGATTGCAGCTATTAATCTCACTCTACCTTACAAGAAAGTTATTCATATTCACAGAAGTTGTCCAGCTAAATACAATCAGATATGGGACAGATGGTTTTAACAACCCTCTACATGTAATGTGGATGAGTCTGAAGACTCACACTTGTTATTTTCCTTTTTTTGTATCCTGCACTGCTTCATGTCTATACTACATGTGCCCATGTGTCTATACTACAAGAGCCACTCCTCCTGCTACTTATCATTGAAGTTCAAACCTTTGCTTGTGTACGGGCTATCACAGAAGTATGTTTGTCATTAGGATTTGAGTAATCTATATCTTGCTCTCTCTGATGGGACTTGTCTTTCTTCTGTATTGCACTATGTTATGGTGTTATTTGTATTGCTCCTTTGTATTGTATACATGTTTCAGGTTACCGTGGCTGTTGGACTGGTGCTTCACCAGTGGCAGCTTTATAGTTGAGTGTAAAAAAAGACAGTGACAATGTAAAGGCATGTGAGACTGAAATCAACTGGAAAAGGCTGGGTGGCTTAATCCAACCAAAATTACAATTTCTGGTCATCAGACTAAATGTTAGGTTTGGCGAAAGTCAAACAGCACACATCATGTTTCACATACCATCTCCACCGTGAAGCATGGAGGTGGTAGCATCAATGCTGTTTGGATGCTTCTCAACAGCAGAACCTCAAAAGTTTGATAAAGTAGTGGGAAGAACTCACACAGCAAAATACATTAAAATCCTGAATAAAATCCTGATACTGTCTACAAGAAATCTGAGCCTTGGTAGAAGATTTTTTCCTCTTGCAAGACAATGACCCCAAACAAAAGGCCAGAACTACACAAGAATAGATTAAAAACAGCAATGTTTGTAAGGGCTGACTAAATTGTTTTTGCCTCTTTCTTCCAATCAGGAGAAAAGACATTGATTGTTGGGTGGTAAAGGTCATTCTGCCAAGTCATAGAAATAACACCTTCCTCTGTATGCTGGGGAACTCAGGCTTATCATGTGATCATTCAATACATTTCTGATGATCAGTGTAAAATAAAAGGAAAGGTATTCCCAGAGGCGTAGCTTGAAGCTTGTGGGCCACGATGCAAAAGTTGACCTGGGACCCCCCACTACCTTCCACTGTGCACCAAGATGCTCCCACTGGGCGCCAAGATATGATAGCTGTATGGTGGCTGTCTCACTCTTCTCTCTCTCCTGCTGCCGTCTGCACGTGCACACAAGGTGGGGTGAAAGCAGTAGGTTTGTATGTAAAAGAGGAAACTCAGCAGGCTCTCTGACTTCCAGAAGCACATACAAGACCACCAAATTCACCCAGCAGCTCACAGTATGGCCTGCCTGCCCCCACCTTGTGTGCACGTACAGGGCTGAGCAGGAGCGGGAAGGGGGGTACTGTACTGGGTGGGTGGCGGGCTGATCAGAGAGTGTGCCACTGCACATATATCACACCTTTTTTTTTAACAGCTTTAATTTATACATTATTAAACAGCACCCAGTTACCTCTCTCATGGCCAGGCTGCAGTGATATAGAGAAGCAGGATATTAGGGAATAGTAACACCCCCCTTCCTGGTAATGACACATGCCCTCCTGCCTCCTCTTGGTATTGACAGATGACACCTCAAGAGCCCCCCACTTCAGTTAATCATAGATGATCCCCTACTCCTGTAAAGACAGATGACTTCCCCTCCTGGTAATGACACATGTCTCTCCACCAGGTAAACACAGATGACCCTTCCACCCCCCCCACCAGGTAATCACAGATGACCCCCACCAGGTAATGACAGTTGACCCCCCCTCCCCCCACCAGGTAATGACAGGTACCCCCCACCAGGTAATGACAGACGACCCCCTCCCCCACCAGGTAATGACAGATGACCCCCACCTTCTCCTCTTAGTAATGACACATGGATTCCCAGGGAATTATTAATTTCCACCCCACCCACCATCCTGGTAATGTCACATTATCCCCCCCCCCTCCCATGCTGACAATGACAGATTCCCCATGCAGCTCCCCTCTCTCCTCTTCCTGCTCAAACTGTCACAGTAAACTCTGCAGCCCTCAGTCCCTCAGGGGCCCCTCAGGAAGTGTTACAGGATTTTGTGAGCATTTTTGTCAGTAGGAGTTGTGGGGCAGTGTGTGTCTGTTCTCTGCATGGATCCAACCAGCTTCTGAACGGTGCTCTCCTCTTCCTCCCTCACTCAGTCCAGTGACAACATGGTGTCCATCCCCACCTGGGTGTCAGCACTGACACTTTCCTGTCCAGTAGGGCTGGGCTCACCCCGTCCTTCCTCTGCTACTCTTCCTTCCACTACAGGACTTGAAAATGGATCAAAAAGCTCAGATCTTCGTTGGGGTTTCGGGGATTCTATCCTCTCTTGGATTCAGGCCTTGTATTCCTTTCCTTCGGCCTCCGTTAAATACGCTGGGTATTTCTCGGATCCCTTTCCTGTTGGGCGAGGGACGAGGCAGGGTTGCCCGCTGTCCCCGGCGCTCTTTGTCCTGGCGCTTGAGCCACTGGCTTTAGCGCTCCGGACCGATTGCAATATATCGGGGGTTCCATATGCGGGACAGGAGTTTAAGCTGAGCCTCTTTGCGGACGATGCCCTCTTGACCCTTACTAATCCTCTGACGACGCTTCCTAACTTGCAACGAGTTCTTGAGCGCTTCTCCTTGATTTCGGGTCTACGTATCAATTTAGATAAAACCGTCGCTCTCAATATTACTTTGGCTTCAGATTTGGTTTCGCGCCTACAATCCCACTTCCCTTACCGGTGGGCTTCCTCTTCTCTGGAATACTTGGGCATTCGCTTGACCCCCACCTATGACTCCCTTTTTGCTGCAAATTATTATCCTTTGCTTAGCTCTTTATCTTCTCTTATGCATTCCTGGCAATTTCCGCACCTGTCTTGGATAGGACGGGTTCATTCAGTGAAAATGACCATTTTGCCGAAATTGTTATATTATTTTCGCACCCTCCCTGGGCGGGTTCCTCCTCACTTTCTTCGGTTGCTTCAGGCGAAGTTTATGCGTTTTATTTGGGCCGATAAACACCCCAGAGTCTCTAGAAACACGCTCTTTGCTCATAGACTCCAGGGTGGTCTTGGGGTACCCAATGTAACTAAGTATTATCAGGCGAGCCAGATTGCCCCGCTGTCTATGTTGCATGCTTCCTCCGATGTTCCTCTCTGGGTCCTGCTGGAACTACCTAATTGTGCCCCTATCGCACTGTCAACACTCCTATGGCTTCCCCCTGCCCTGCGCCCTATGGCGCTGAGTCCGATGTTGCTCCATGGCCTACAAGTCTGGGACTCGGTACGTTACTCCAGTGGCCTGATGTCACCCTTTTTGCCCTTGCTTCCAATCGTTAACAACCCTCTTTTCCCACCGGGTCTAGATCACCCGAGGGCATTCTCTTGGTGGGTGGCTCATGGTTTCTCACAGGTGCAACACTTTTTGACTTTTCGGTCCTTTCCCACCTGGAATGTCCTTCGGGAGTCTCGGGATGTTCCCCCAGCGGAATTTTTTCGGTACCTTCAATTGCGGCACTGGCTACTTTCGCTGAGGGCCACTTCTGCTTTCCCATATCAGAAATCTGCCTTTGAACGGCTTTGCCAGCAGCACCCGGGCGCCCCAGGCCTTATCTCCCTTCTTTACGCAGCTTTGAACAGACGCTCGTCTCACACTTCTCTTTCATATGTTGTTCAGTGGGAACGCGACCTGGGAGTGGCTGTGGATCCGGAGGACTGGAGTAGGGCCTGGTCACTCATAGCTAAATGTTCATTTAATACGACCACGCTGGAAGCAGCCTACAAGGTGTTGTTCCGTTGGTACTGGGTTCCAGCTCGTCTGGCCCAGGCTAACCCTGCCTGTAGTGATCGATGTTTTCGGGGTTGTGGCCATCGCGGCGATGTACTGCATATCTGGTGGTCATGCCCGAGGTTGGTTCGTTTTTGGTCTCGTGTGTTTGGCCTCCTTTTCACTTTGTTCCATCTCTCTATACGCCGGGATGCTCGGTATGCTTTGCTTCATTGCCCCATACCGGGCCTTTTGGCTCGTCAGCAGCGGTTGGCTTCCTATTTGTTTTTATCGGCTACTAGGACAATTGCTCAGGCCTGGAAGAGTCCGTTTGTACTTTTCCAGGGGGTGCGGGATCGTATGACTACTATGATGCTCAACGAACAGATGTCGAGCATATGCAACGACTCTCAACATAAATTTTTGAAAGTTTGGGAGCCTTGGTTGCAATACGCCTTTCCCACGCTCCCCCCGACCAGTGTGGGGAGGTAATGGAGTTTGGTATTGGCGCTCGTGGACCCCTGCTCTTTGGTGTGGTTTTTTTTTTTTTTTTTTTTTTTTTTTTTTCCCTTTCTTCTCTGCTCTTCTTCTCTCCTTTTCTGTTTGTTTTGATGTGACAGTGGACAGCTGTCTTTAGTTGAGATAATCAAAGTCTCACTGATGTTACTGTAATCTATGTGCCATTGATAGCCCCTGCGTGGGCATACGTTTTGCCTTATTAGAATTAGAGCGTTGTCTGCTCTATTTTGCCTTTTTTATTGGTGCAATTGATAGCCCCTGCGTGGGCGTATTTTGTTGCTTGTGTTTTACACTGTTTAAAATTAATAAAAACCATTGAAATACAAAAAAAAAAAAAAAAAGCTCAGATCTTAGAGATTCCACTTTGCTCTGGATTCTGCTTTGCTACTCATATTTACAGAGAGAGAGTGGGCCTCCCTGGAGCATGAGCGGGGTCAAAATTGTGACCCCTGATGCTACGCCCATGGGTATACCTCTAGGCTGCAGCCATGCAATTTAGGTAAGTATGGATCTCAAACAGGCTAACTGCATCTATACTAAAAGTACAACTATCCTTTAAATCCACTGTGATTCAGTATTTTATGATAATAAAAAAAACTCACAACTAAAGTTAATCAAATGTTGACCTATGTTTGCCATACTTGGAATAGCTTTAGCAATTATTGCAAAAACCACTTCAGGTGCACAGCAGAAGAGTGAAGCAACCTGCCCTGGATGCCGGGGTCTAGCAACAACTCTGCCTTCGTGCTTACAGTATTTATAAAGGCATTCACTATCCTGAAAAGAAAAGCATGACTGTTATGGCTACTGTAAAAAGATGAAATATGAAATCTGGTTTGTTTGTACAGGTTACTGCATTTTGGACATTGTTATTGCTCCTTATATTTCCTCATTAAATATGCCAATTTATATTCTAGTAAAGTGGTGGTCAATACAATAAAATGTGTGATTGGATACATACTTGGTGGAGCTTCAAAGACATCCGAATTGCTGGAGAAATAACAGTGTGTAACAAGTCCATATCCGCAAATACCCATTCTTCTTCTTTAGATATTCGATAATGTCCTTTAAATAAGGTATGAAGGCCATGGAGAAATGAATCCAAACTGAAAAATTAAGTTAAGAAACATCTGTTAGGCTAGTTTAGTTAATATGCAAATATACAGTAGGTGAATTATAACTAAAATACACATGATATGAAGAACGTAGTCACATTTAGTGTAGCTTACAGGCAGATGAATATCTTTCTAATTAAGTTGAAAATTGAATACCCAATGAATCCAATTAACTGTCAAAATGCAGTTTTATTGATTTGCTTAAATATATTCATGCCAAATCACCCAGTCTATTGAGAACCACACAATACAGGAATCATGACTGCCTGCATTCCTGAATTGCATCGTTTTATACAGATGGGACAGACCTGCATATTTTCATTCATGGAAATGAATAATGTGTGAATCGCTGATTCTTCTGATTCAAATTATTATCACTACTGCACTAAAGCCCAGACATCCCTCAAAAACACTGATTTAATGTTGGTACTACAGTCATGGCCAAAAATATTGGCACCCCTTCATTTCTGTCAGATAATGCACCACTTTGCCCAGAAATTTGTTGCAATTACAAATGTTTAGGCATTTGCATGTTTATTCCTTTGTTTTGTATTGGTATGATACAAAAAAGTGGAGAAAAATCTGACACCTTCCATGCAAAACCCCAAAAATGGACTGGACAAAATTATTGGCACCTTCTCAAAATTGTAAGAAATAATTGCATTCCAAGTATCAATTAACAGGTGCTGACAATACAGGGCCGGATCTAGCCTGTCCAATGTGGGGGTGCAGTAAAAATGTCAGGGGGGCAGAGGATGAGAGGTCAGCAGGGCAGTGTACAGGGAGTCACCAAGACAGATGATAGGGTCATCACTTTGTAGTGCAGGGAACAGAGGCCATTAACTTGTAGAGCAGTGTACAGGAATCCATAGGGCAAACAACAGGGGTCAGCAGGAAGGAAAACAGTGGTCACTGCTGGTAGGGAAGAAGATAGGAGTCACTTCTGGCAAGGCAAATGTAGGAGTCACTGCTGGCAAGGCAAAAGGCAGAGGTCAGGGGTCACTGCTGGGAGGGCAGAGGACAGGGGTCACTGTAGGGAGAACTCAGCAGAGGTTAGTGGGCACTGCTGGCAGGGCACTCAGCAGAACTCCTTTTCCCATCCCTGCACTGCACACAGGCTAGGCACAGGCAGCAAATCTTCTCCTTGCCATACATTACTGAAATTAGATTCCCTCACACACAACCTTGATCTGAACAGTGTGTAGCTGGCTTCTGCAGCTGCACCAGTATTCTGACCATGGAATTTCACAGGTCAGAACTGCAACATAGTAGCCAGCTACACACTGTACAGATTGTGGTTGTATGTAAAGGAATCTGATCTCAGCTATGTGCTGTGTGGGGAGCAGGATCTCTGCTGCTTTTCCTCAGGCTGTGTGCAGCGCAGAGATAAGAGAAGTAGTTCAGCATAGTTGCCAACATTTTAAAAACATTTCCAGGGTCACCTTTTTTCGCTATGCGCCCAGATAGCCACTGTCATGAAGTATGTACTTAAATTAGGGATGAGGCATTCACTTAAAATAGGGGTGTTTTTGAAAGCAGCATATCACTAACCTAATGCTGTACTTTTATCACACATATATAGGAGAGATGAGGTTATGCTAGCTCAGCATAGTGGCAGGCTAGAGCAGTATAATGGCAGTATAGTGGCAGATTTGGGTAGTATAATGGCAGGCTTTTGGTAATATAGTGGCAGTAAAGTGGCAGGTTAGAGCAGTGTATGGCAGGCTAGAGCAGTATAGTGGAAGGTTAGGGCAGCATAGTGGCAGGCTGGGGAAGTATTGTGGCAGATTAGAGAAGTATAGTGGCAAGCTAGGACAGTATAGTGGCATGTTGGGGCAGTGTAGTGGCAGGCTAGGGCAGTGTAGTGGAAGGCTGGGGCAGCTTCTGTACAGAAAAAGAATTTGTCAGCGTTACAGGAACTACATGAGTGGAAGGCTGGGGCAGTGTAGTGGAATGCTGGGGCAGTGTAATGGAAGGCTGGGGCAGTGTAGTAGAAGGCTGGGGCAGTGTAGTGGCAGGCTGAAGCAGTGTAGTTGAACGCTGGGGCAGTGTAATGGAAGGATGGGGCAGTGTAGTAGAAGGCTGGGGCAGTGTAGTGGAAGGCTGGGGCAGTGTAGTGGCAGGCTAGAGCAGCATAGTGGCAGGCTGGGGCAGTGAAGTAGAAGGCTGGGGCAGTGTAGTGGCAGGCTGAAGCAGTGTAGTTGAACGTTGGGGCAGTGTAGTGGAAGGCTGGAGCAGTGTAGTGGAATGCTGGGGCAGTGTAGTGAAAGGCTGGTGCAGTGTAGTGAAAGGATGGCGCAGTGTAGTGGAAGGCTGGAACAGTGTAGTTGAACGCTGGGGCAGTGTAGTGGAAGGCTGGAGCAGTGTAGTGGGTGGCTGGGGCAGTGCAGTGGCAGGCTGGGGCAGTATAGTGGCAGGTTGGGGCAGTGTGAAGTAGAAGGCTGGGGCAGTGTAGTGGCAGGCTGGGGCAGTGCAGTGGCAGGCTGGGGCAGTATAGTGGCAGGCTGGGGCAGTATGTAGTAACAGTGTGCTCAGTCACTTACAGTACAGCATGACTGGGGATGAAGTCTTCCCGGGACTTTGCTGCTACATCTATTTCTCTTCCTGAGTTAAGGTGTCTGTGGGAGGAGTGAAGGAGGCAGCCATACCCCCAGCCCCACCCACCAACTTTGGCTTCCTCAGAAAACAGTGAAGATCACCAAGAGATAGCCAAGCTGTATTAGATGACAGGAGAGAGGTACAGGCAGCCTCCCTCACCCCGCTGACCTGATAAGCTGGGCAGTACATCTATGTATACAAAGCTGCAGGGGAGAAAGTGCAGCTATCTGAAGTATCGTTCAGCAGACAAGTACAGTGTGCAGAGAGAAGGGTGGCAGTTAGCTTTGGGGAGGGGGGCGCAACTAAAATTTGGGTGGGCCTAGCCCACCATAGCACCCCCCTAGATCCGGCCCTGTGACAATATAGAAATCACACCAGCAACCACTTAAAATGGAGACAAATTGACTCAACCTTTCTGTTGTGTTTCTCTGTGTGCCACATTGAGTATGGAGAAGAGAAAGAGCAGCAAAGAATTTTCTGAGAATTTGAGAACAAAAAATGTGGAAAAGCATGGACAATCTCAAGATTACAAGTCTAAGATCTGATGGTTCCTGTGTCCACAGTACACAACATTATCCAGATGTTTATAGCCCATGACACTGTAGCTAATCTCCCTGGACATGGACGAAAGAAAAATTGATCAATGTTTGCAACAAAGGATTGTATGAATGGTGGCTAAAAAAACCTTGATAATTTCCAGACAAATGCAAGCTGACCTTCAGGCACAGGGTACAACTGTGTCAGCTTGCACCATACGCCACAATCTGAATAAAAAGGGACTCTTTGGTAGAAGACCCAGGAGGACCCCACTGCTAACACAGAAACAAAAAAAGCCAGATTGAAGTTTGCCAAAACCTACCTGAGGAAGCCAAAATCCTTTTGGGAGAATGTGCTGTGGACAAACAAAATAAAATTACAGCTTTTTGGTAAAGCCCATCATTCTACTGTTGTCAGAAAAAGCAATGAAGCCTTTAAGGAACAGAATACCGTCCCTAAAGTCACACATGCTGAAGGTTCACTGATATTTTGGGGTTGCATTGCTGTTTCAGGCACTGGTTGTCTTGACCGTGTGCATGGCATTATGAAATCTGAAGACAACCAAAGAATTCTGGGCTTTAAAGTAGGATTCAGTGTCAGAAAGTTGGATCTCCGTCAGAGGTCATGGGTCTTACAGCAGGAAAATGACCCAAAGCACACATCAAAAAGCATCCAGAAATGGTTTAAGACAAAGCGCTGAAGAGTACTGAACTGGCCAGCACTGAGTCCAGATCTCAATCCCATAGAGCACCTGTGCAGAGATCTCAAAACAGAAGCTGGGAAAAGGAACCTTTTCCAATCTGAGAGACCTGGAGCAGTTGTCTAAAGAAGAGTGGTCCAAAATTCCAGTAGAGAGGTGTAAGAAACTCATTGATGGTTACAAGAAGTGATTGATTTCAGTTATTTTTTCCAAGAGTTGTGCTACAAATATTACATTAAGGGTACCAATGAATTTGTCTATTCCATTTTGGGGGTTTTGCGTGGAACGTGTCAGATTTGGCTTTTTGTTTCTCCATTTTATTGTGTCATACCAATACAAACAACAGAAATAAACATGAGAATGCCAAAACATTTGTAATTGCACTAATTTGCTGGGCGAAGTGGTGCATTATCTGACAAAAATGAAGGGGTGCCAATATTTTTGGCCATGACTGTATATAAAATCAGTAATATAACTGCAATATGATATCTACACTATATTGCCAAAGGTATTGGGACTCCTGCCTTTACACGCACATGAACTTTAATGGAATCCCAGTCTTAGTCCATAGGGTTCAATATTGAGTTGGCCCATCCTTTGCAGCTATAACAACTTCAACTCTTCTGAGAAGGCTGTCCGCAAGGTTTAGGAGTGTGTGAATGTTTGATCATTCTTCCAGAAGAGGATTTGTGAGGTCAGGCACTGATGTCGGACGAGAAGGCCTGGCTTGCTGTCTCCATTATAATTCATCCCAAAGGTGTTCTATCGGGTTGAGGCCAGTCAAGTTTCTCCATCCCAAACTTGCTCATCCATGTCTTTATGGACCTTGCTTTGTGCACTGGTGCACAGTCATGTTGGAACAGGAGGGGCCATACCCAAACAAAGTTGGGAGCATGCAATTGTCCAAACTGTCTTGGTATGCTGATGCTTTAAGAGTTCCCTTCACTGGAACTAAGGGGCCAGGCTCAACCAATGAAAAACAACCTCACACCATCTTCCCCCCTCCACCAAACTTTACACTTGGCACAATGCAGTCAGGCAAGTACCGTTCTGAAAACTGCCAAACCCCGACACGTCCCTTGGCTTGCCAGGCAGAGAAGTGTGATTCATCACTCCAGAGAACACATCTCCACTGCTCTAGAGTCCAGTGGCGGCG